ACCCAAATGGTCCAAATTGATCAAAATAACGTAAAACATAAAAAGCGGCAGCTCTCTATTTAAAAGGAACTTGACCCCAAACTACTTCTGTAAGGAGGTGCAGAACTATTCTGACATCCATAATATTCCACAAATAAAATCTGTGAAAGGGTTTCCGTCTTTTTGTTACCAGTTTCTCAATCGTCGACTCCTAATGTTTTTTTTTTTAGGTTTTTATCAGTAACTTTTAGTAAAGCCTCTGTGTTTGCTGGAATATTCTATGGATGTGTGTAGTTTCTTTTATCGATTGAAAAAGTATTTTTAAAACACAGTTTTCAGATCTTCGCTGATGTGTTCTATGGATTCAAGTAAATTCGGTAGCAGTTTAGTGTTGACTGCTGTTCATAGATTACTGATAACAGGTATCAGGTTGATTACCTGAGGCTGCCCTGTTTGTGTTTGCTGCGCTGGAAACCAGCTGGTCAGTCGAGCCATTCCAGTCACTTCTGCAGTCGACCAAAACACCATACGCGATTCAGAACTCCAGCTCCTCGCCACTCGAGCGAGCGCCATCACATCACTGTTTTTCAGTTATGACTGTTGGCTGGATGATAAATTGTAATATACAGTGTGAAAATGCAGAAGTGAAACGTGTCTGCGCTCACCGCTTAGGTACGGGTGGGATATGGCACACGCTATCAGACGGGACCCTACCTCAGCAGCTGCATTTGGGGTTATTTTCAGTTTTGTTTTTCATTAAAAAAACTGCATTTTAGACAATTTTTTTTAGTTTTTCTTGTTTTAGAGTTAAAGTCCCATTAATCAGCACATACTGGTGAAATTCGTCTCCACATTTGACCCATCTTTGTGGGGAGTGTCCAATAAATGACACATTAAGAGGCATGCAGATTTTAAAAATGTTGCCAAAAAATGCTTTTAATCAATGCATTTATTATTATTACTCACACAAATGTTCTACACAGAATATAAAGAGGATTCCATAACTTACTTGTAAATTGATAAAAGTTAATCAAAGCAGAAATCTGTTTTTCATGCGATGGCTGAAAAATCTACTGCAACTTTAGCCGCTCTTCCTTCTTCCATATTTACAGCCAGAAGCAACGTTTGTGAGCACACGCCTCTAGCTGCCAACAGAGCTAAAACACATGTATTTATTCATACATATATATATTTTTTTAATTAATTAATTAATTTATTTATTTATTTATTCTTTTTTTTTCTTTTAGACGTACCTGCCCATGAGACAGGTTGCGAACTCTGCATCAGTGTAGGTACTAACGCAAACGCTTTGGATTGACATCTGCACGTAAGCGGATGTCTAACATGGACCTTGAGTCCGATAATAAAGTTGAATTGAATTGAGTAACGCTATTGGCTAATTCTGAGCAGTGCCCAATTCAAATTCCATGGGGCTGTACGGAACAGGGGTGGGCTTAGTGAAAATAAATTGATGTATTACAGTTATTAAATCACAGGTGGGAATATCACTTTTATAGATTTCTAAAAATTCATACATAATTCTTGAAAAGGGGAAAACTCCAGATTTCAGCTTTGTTACCTTAAAAAGGAAACTCGGTCTCCATCAGCTTTTTCTATTTGGTTCTTTTTCCTTTAACAGTTAATAACCAGGGTGTGAGTCGCTTCTTTTAAAAGCACATCACAAGGAGTGAAGTCGTGTATTCGAAGTGAAACAGGATGAATAATAACCAATCTTTATTATTACTGCAACTTTTGTTTTTTCTTTTAAGACACGTAACTTTTTGTTTTTGAACCTGAGTAAAAGTTGTACCCGTCTTACTGTAAGAAAACTCTCCAGGTCTTGGGCTCTTTTATGTACACCACACAGGCCGACGGTCAACTCATTTAAGGGCTCTGAATCTTTGCTGCTTTCACTCTCAGTGGTTATAACCACCGCAGCATTTTATCAGTACAGGAATACTATTTTCAGCTCTCAGGTTAACAAACATGTCCTAAAACTGAGCTGAAGTGACTCACACGGCTCTGCTTTGATCTGTTCCCCGATACGCCGACGACAGGGACCGTGAGACAGTTTGAGTTGTTATTAGATGGCTGCTTTAAAAGGGGCATTCCAAAGAAAACTGCCCCGTTACTGCTGCTAATCCCTCCCACCCCTCGGGCTTCCCAACAGCAGACATGGCTGCCGCCGGTGAAAGCTGAAACCCGTGTCACGTTTCCGTCACGAGAAAGTGTGACCAGCATCGGTTTCGATGTTTGCCGGACCCCGTTTTGGTGGGGGAATTCGAAACGAGGATGTCGAGTTCATCACCTCAGGATCACTCAAAATTTTAGCTTTCGGTTCCGTCTTCAGCATTCTGAACAAGTGCTGTCTAATCTGTTGAATTTATCCGATTTATTTGCAGAAAAGCCTCTGTTTCATTCTAAGAAGGCACTCTCATGCTGGAGAGAAAATAACTAAAAATAATGTTTGACTTTGTTTTAGGTTTGTAGGATTTACTTCATGTGTTTGTTTTGATCTCTTCTTCAACAAAACATCCTCAACATTTTTTGAACGTGTTTTCGTTTCTTTGTTTTCAGTCTTAACCATGCTTCTAAAAAATGGAAATTACCCAGATTAATGCACCTAAATGAACCGTATGAGTTTGATTCAAGCAGTAAAAAGAAAACTCCTACACGGTGAAGCTGTGACACATGCCGAGCTCTGATCAAAAGCTGCTGAACCCATTAAATTTCCCTTCTATTGATTCAGTCTTTGACTATTTATTGAAGACTTTTGCTGAATGTGCATCTTTATCTTTGACCACATCTAATATTCATAATTTTTCTTGATGATCAGTGAATTGAAAATGTTTACTAGCATAACCGCTAACAACCGTAAAGTAGGTAAAGAGCCCCCCTATAGACGCATTGAAGTGTGACGTCACGCCCCCACACTCCTGCCCCCCAGCCCAAAGCTGGAGGGCAAGGAGCTGGCACCCCCCTGTTGACTGCAGTTGTGTTTTTCCGTTAGTCGTCTATAAACAGAGCTAAATAGCAGCAAAATTTAATCTATTAGCATGATTAATACACGTAGAGCTGTAGGCTGCACAAGTAGATGAAAGAAGGACAGCAAAGTTCAGTTTTAAAGGTTTCCAGCTGATAAAATGCACTAAATTTAACTTTCAGTTCTATTGCAAACAAAATCTCATCACAGAGTAAAAAGGTAAAATATCTGCCCCACATGTCCAAGTTATAACAAGTTATAGCCATCTAATGACTTGTATGCTTTTATTATTATGCGCGACTGCGGGGACAAGGAGCCGTGGGAGAAGTGACCAATTGAGTGGAGGGGGCAGCAGGAGGAGCTGTAGGCTGATCAGTCCTTAGAAAGAAATGTGTGTGAAAGTGACAACTCGGGCGTGGTGTGTGTGACCTGCGCTAACGGTCTTGTTACAATAATTACACAAAACGTGTGGTGTAATTGGAGCGGGTCCGCTAATGTCGTTGGTGTTTCTGTCTACATCAGAATAAACATTCGCTAATCTCCAAAGAGGAGCGGTGCCACGGCGATCCTTCAGCATTAACCCGCAAAACGTAAACGGTATCCAGTTACTTTGGCTTCAGCTGAATAAAGTCCAGACGGTCGATTTTGCGGAGGGCTGTTGTCCCCACAGCCCGTTAGCTATTTCAAATGCAGTTCTGGAAGCTTTATGCTAAACACTGTAAGCTTTGAGATGTTTATTTTTTTTTACATCTGCAGAAAGATGAATTAGATGATTTACAGTAATAAAATTTAAATCCCTAGGCTTTATTTTGTTAGCTTAAAGATACAGCTCTGGATAATGGCTGGAGATGGGGTTCTTGCCCTCCTGCTAGTGTGGATGTCGGCAGTTACCCGGATGTAAACGGTGACCTTCATTGGGTCTGTAGAGCACCTTCCCGTGCCACAAAACTGTTAAATGCTGTATCTGACCTGTTGAGGGCTGCAGAGTGGTATCAGATAAGAAACTGGTCAAGTTTCTAACTCACAAATCATTGAGATCAATGTTAAAGCTCTAGTTTAAAGTAAAAAAAAAACTATTTAGTGTTACTTTAAAGGAAGGATAGGGTGTGTAGATAATCCTAATGATATGTGCTAACAATGGCTGATATAATCAAGGTGGGAGGATGGGTTCATGTGGGGGGATAGATAACAGAGAAGATTAGAGGAACAAAAACAGCTACGGTCTGTAATGAAGGTGAGAAACCTGGGGTCAGTGTAAACGAAGCGGTGACAATTTGGTAAAAGAAACCTGGAGTCTGGACGGTGGAAGGTCAGAAAGCTGAGAAAAGATGGCACGTGGGGGAGGGATGGGTGTGGTGGGCTCAAATGTGGGATGGGAGTTGAGATTGGGGCAGTGAGACAGGTCGACTGACTCAGTCCCATTCCTGTCATCCAGATTTATAGCAGCTCGGGGTCCTGAGACAGGCCCGGAGCCGCGGCCAAATTACAGTCATCGGCAGCATTCCTGTGCTGCAAACACAGGTTAGCGGCCCGGTCGCGCTAAGTGCTAGGTGCTGCCTGTTGACAAATGACTTCCTTTGAAGGGCACAAAGAGCGAGAGACAGTAAGAGAGAGAGAGGCTGTGTGTTTACTGTGTGAGGGCTGAGAGTCACAGTCTGTTTCTGTTGTGTCTGAAAGCCGTTCAGCTAAAAGAAGAGACGAAGAAGGAATGTTTGTATGTGTGGGTCTGTTTTTCTATGATGCGGGCACTGCCAGCACAAACTCTAGCGTAGAGAACATGATGAGCTCCCAGCAGAGGGTCTCACAGATGCACGGTGTGACTCAGGAGTGTGTGAGTCTGTGTGACCTGTGTTATCAGCCTCTTAATTCCAGGTTCCCAGGCCGCTAATGGCGCTGAGACCCGGGGCTGGGTCCTGACCTTTCCGTTCAAAGACGCAAACACGGACATTTACAACATGTTTTCTAATCACAGCAATTCTCTTATAATATCTTTAATCGTTATGTGTGATGAACAAGAGTGTTTTTATCTTTCCTCCAGGCGTTCACAGGCAGTCCCAGGATATTTCAGGCTATTATTCTCTTCCTCCAGGCGGCGTCAGCCAAATCACTCCATCCATGAGCTGGTGAGTAACTCATTACCCCTCTAAATGTAGAGAACCGCTTTAACCCCTCTGTTGTTGGGGTTCAGATTTATACTCTAATAAAGTGTGTTTTCAAGCTAATAAGCAAAGAAATCTTAATATTAATGATCTAATTGTTCTTTAAGATTATACAATTTCATCTGTTCATGTTCTATCCTGTTATATCAGACTTCCAATGAGTCATAGATTAACACAAATCCATTTATTACATCCTAGATAATCTGCCCGGTTTAATCCTCGCAGGAATATTTAAAAGCTCACATCAAATGTCATGAAGATTTATAACGACAGCTTTTAAAATGTGTCTTTTCTTTAATGTGTGTTTTGTGTCCTTTTATTCTGGAGTCCGTGGTTTACACCAGTTTTATCTCCTTCAGACAAGAGCTCATCAGTGTGGATTTCCACAAGTGTTACTAGCGGATAATCTCCTTTAACCCAGATTATGTGCTTGTAGTGAGCTCTCTTGTTGAAGGAGCGGTTAAATGTCAGACTGTTTAGTTTGGGACCCCAGTGACAACCTCTACATGTTGGCTTGTTTCACACCACACACATGCCAGGGTTGACGCTATACGAGTTTTTGTGTTGGCAGTTTAGCAAATGCTTGTAAGAGACACAAAGAGTGTATAGATTTAGGCAAAAGAAAGAGTTAAATCTCTGAAACTTTGCCAATTAGAGGAAGTAAAATAATTTTTTAATGGGAAATGAGAAAGTTCCAGGTACGGTGTAGGTGACTGGGAATGGTGACAAGTGGTTCTAGGATCACAGTTGAGGTTTTCACATGTCAGAAAGTGTAAAAATGTGAGACAGCTGTGAGATAGATTTGGTGACCAAACTATGACTCGATCAGAATTTACTGGTAATTTTACCGGAACTTCACAGCGTCTCTCTGTTTCACTGGGCTGGTCCGAAAGGACTACAGTTGAGCCATTTCAGGGACAAATGGGTTCAGCAGGAGTATGTTCTCGGGAAAAGGGCCGTAAAGTCGCTGAGCTGGACTTATGGTTAGCTCAGGCTGACTGGTTGTAACTGAATAGGAAATGACATCAGCAGATGTCACCAAACAACAGGAAGAGCTCCTGGTGAAAAAGATAACAAGCAGCATTCACAATGCTTTAAAAACACAGAAGATGCTGTGGAAATCCCCGACAACGCCATCATTTACGCCGCTTTGTGGTCTCCTACAAAGCTCCATAAAATCCGGCCATTGAACGCAGCTTTTTACGTCACGCAAGCTCCTCTCTCCACCCTCCGAATGGATTCAGCGTACCTTCTCAGTGGACGAGTGGTAGTGTCCGCCTCCCTGCTTGACACTCAGCACTAAGGGTTTGGATTGGGGGGTTAAACCACTAAATAGTTCCCGAGCACAGCCACAGCTGCATCTCACCTCTCCCCACGCGGATGGGTCTAATGCGGAGATGTAATTTCACCAGTGTGCGGTGACGACTAAAGCCTGGTTTATGCTTCTCCGTCAGCTCCGTAAGGGACAGACACGCTCGGATTGACGGAAGCGTTTTGCTCTCATACTTCTCCGTCACTTCTCCGTCTCCTGGAGAGTGTTGCAAAGCAATTGCCCGGCAGGACAACAGAGGACGTAGCGCTGTTCTGTGGTATCCTGTCTTGTATCGGTCCAAGATCGTGTGTTTATATTGTGTTTTTTGTGTAAATAAGAGCTTTTAACACAGACATATTTGTCTCTCATTCTCCCACCGCTTCATGCGCTCCCCACCTCTAAACCCACATTTCCTGTCATTTCCGTCATCAAATAAAACGCTTGCTGCGCGTCTTTTCACTCCTCGGCTCTCTTTGCAATGGCGGCGCTGTAAACAACAGCGGCGTCCTGACCAATCACAAGCTTGCCTAATCCGTCTCGTTCGACTGATGTTTAAAAAAAGTGGGCTCGACTCCGTACGTACTTGCGTGCCTGCCGGAGCCCTACGCAAGGACGGATAATGGCGTTGCGTGTCTCCGCACTGACGCAGACGGAGAAGCATAAATCAGGCTATGGGACATTAACTTTTGACATTTTTTTAACGTTGCTAATGTCCATACACGCCTTTTGGCTCTGATCTGATGTCACTTACTGCCGAAACAGTCGAGATATGCTGACGTCTTGGAAAAGTCCTGAAAAGGACGTTTTTTGTGTGGAGACACAACGGCTGAGCCAAAGTGTTGTAGTTCAGCTATGACTTTATTTGACCGTGTCACTCAGACAACAATTAACTTGTTGTCCTCCGACTGAAAATAGAGTAAGATTCTGTCTCCAACCGGTCCCTACCAGTCGCAGCCCAGTGAGACACCATCTCTAATGTTTACAGGACAGTTTTTTAAACTTTTGTTTCCACAGCATGTTTCATTGTCTTGGCTTCTTTATTGCAAGGTGCAAAGCAGCAGAACGGAGCAAGTTGTGTTTCATTTCATTCCCAGCATGCCTCTGTTCAGTCATGCCTTTCACATACAGTCACGGGGGGGGGGGGGGGGGGGCTTTCTACGCCCCGTCACACATTCTGATGCTGAAAAAAAAACACTTACTAGTGGGTTTGTTTGATAGATTCAGAGATTTGTTGGGAGTGAGATAAAGCGGATAGAAACTTGGGCTGCCTTTATCTGACCGGTTGTTTGGTGTGACCCGAGTTCAGACCGGACAAATGTGTCCTCTGGGGGCAGAAGCCGGTAATCTCTGGACCTGCTCCCAGCTGGGAGCTGCTCCTGCTGGGCTGTAATGTGGCTTCGCCTCCTGGTTCCAGCAAACGCAGATGTAACTGAGGAGGAAAAGAGATAAGAAGTGTGTGTCAGGTAGTGACTGTACGGGCGTTTTAGATGATGGATGTGGATTGAAGTGTGTGTGCGTGTGTGTGTGTGTGTGTGTGTGTTTGCATACATTTCAACACAAGGATGAGTCAGCTGAAGAAGGGGGTGGTGGTGTTTGCTCTCAGGAGATGTAGTTTCTACATATCAAAGACTCAGACTTTACACTCCAGCCACACTCTCCACCTCCCACAGGGTTCATGCTTGTGCTCCCTCTACGTCAGCTCGGTATTGACACGCGGCTGTCAGCAGCGCCCGTCCCAACTCTTCACAGGGATCGTTTTGCATCTCAGCATCACGAGAGGCCCTTTTGAGTTTATTTATTCTGTTTTATGCATTCAAAGAAGAGAACTGTCACGTGGTTGGTAATTGAGCTTTCTGCATCAAAGCAGTCATTTTACTAGGCGCTACATCTTATCAGTCAAGATCGATGACGTTTAATTGGCTTTAAAACGAGAAACTTGAACTTGTGAAGCTAAAAGCCACGGTGTGCTGCCGTCTCTCCCTCTGCTGTGCTATGGCAGGCAGAGCCAGCCCGTCTACCCTGCCCTGTCCCCCTGTGGATTCAGGCAGCCCTACTCCTCCAGCTTCCCCAGCGCCTCGTCCTACTCCAGGTACTGCAGCCGACCGGCTGGGCCGATCCAGGAAAATCCCAACACCAGCCAGCCGTGCTTTTGCATCGTCTGCTTCTGTTTAGAGCACATTTGAAGCGCGCCATCAGATTTGATTTGACGGCTGCAGTAAAAATCTTGTTTGAGTCAGTGTGCTGTAAACAGGACGGCTTCGCCAGGAGAATCTGAACAGTTGAGCCGAGCTAATCGCTGCTACAGTGAACGATATTATGACCGCTGCTGTCCTGCTGCCTTTAAGCTCTTTTTGTTTGTGTGTGTTTCTGATCAGCATCACAGTCATTGCAAAAATAATTACAAAAAAAAAAGAAATCCACCTGCTGTCTTGTGTTTTGGAGCCCTAGATAGATTTCATACACACACAAAATGTGTCCATATGTAATGCAGCTTTGTTGTTGGTCAGTGTTTTTGTTTTTCTTGCCACTTTCTTTAAAAAATATCTGTTGTTGTTGCCTGAACCTAAAACAATGAAAGAAACCTAATAAGCCTTTTAGTAGCTTTAGAATAATGCATCTATTTTATACTCAGAACAGTTTACTCTCTATAATGCTTGGACGCCCTCTAGTGGTGACTCCTGTAAACATCATGTTTTATTTCCATTTTTCCATAAATACCAGCCTCCAGGCTTATTACTTAGACTATTTAGCCACTAAAATGCTAAACTACCAATAGGAGTTGAGTTTTTAACTTAAACACAACAAAAATAACATTTTGCTTGGATAATCATTCAGCAGGCTTTTTAGGATGCTTTGAGGCTCATTTGCTGCATCCAGATGTCCCGCTCTGCTTTGATGTTCAGCGTCTCGTCTGCTCCCTTTTCACCTCTTTTTGAACTGTTATTTTTTACATGCATCACCATTTGTTCTACATCCACCAGGTTTCCACACTCCCTGATGCTCGGACCGTCAGGCGTGCATCCTACAGGGATCCCCCACCCGGCGATAGTGCCCCCTACAGGCAAACAGGAGCATGAACATTACGACAGGAGCATGTACATGTCAGTATTGCCCGGTGGCCGATTTTTTTTAATTAAAATTTTATTATTGCATCATCTTGATTATGACATTTGTTTTAATTTAGGAAGCCCCAAGTGGAGGTCAAGCGGGAGAAGGAGCCCAAGAAACCGGTCATCAAGAAACCCCTGAACGCCTTCATGCTCTACATGAAGGAAATGAGGGCAAAGGTCATTGCCGAGTGCACATTAAAGGAGAGCGCTGCCATCAATCAGATTTTGGGCCGAAGGGTGAGGGACGCACCTAAAACTAAATATAAATAATAAAAGGACATATGTGCAGGTTTCTTCTTAGCAAATGCTATTTATATTTAATTAATGAGCTGCCACAATTTCACAAATGTAATTATGAAAGTAAATTGCGTTTATTTTGTGTCCAGTGGCACGCCCTGACCCGAGAGGAACAGGCCAAGTACTACGAGCTGGCCAGGAAAGAAAGACAGCTGCACATGCAGCTCTACCCAACCTGGTCCGCTAGAGACAACTACGTAAGTGCTTTCCATTTTCTTCTTATTCTTCCTCGTCTTCTTCTTCATCTTCGCCGAAGACGATATTTTCAAATCAAGGAGCTGGAAAACTGTTGCATTCTTCCATTTTGTCGTGCAAAATTGTAAACTGAAGTCATGAATTTTATATCTGGGTTGTGGTCGGAACAATCTCTCGATCTCTGGAGTAAAGACGTCATTTGGTCGCTATGGTTACAGGGAGCTTGTAACAGATAAACAAGAGATGTGATTTTTTTTTAAATAGTTAACGATAATGAAAATGTGTATTTTTGTGTTTATCAGCCTCGTTCGAGAATAAGATTATAATTATGTTGCTTTAACAAAAGTAAAGAGAGGGAAGTTTGTTCTCTTTAATTAACACATAAGATGAGTTTGGTCATGTTTTTTGTTTGTTTGTTTGTTTATTGAGAAAGATCACTGGAAAAAGCATCAAACCATCGTTGAAATAAACACAGATTTAGTTTTTCTTCACCTCAGAGGAGAAGAAATGTTTTAGACCGAGTTTTGGCGCCGGTGCTTTCTAATCTAAAGTCAGCCGTGACCAGGGTTAGCGTACCTGTCAGGTGCATGCATTTAGGTGAAATGTGCTGAATCTAGGCTGCTCTGTGCCTCTGACTTGTCAGTTTGCTGTTGAACTCTTGCAGGAGGCGGGCCTTAGCGGGGTCGCAGGGGAAAAGAATAAAGCTGATTGGGTAGGGACACGTCTTATGGTGGATTTATACCTCTGTGGTGGAAACGATGAGTGTGTGAGGAGCTGCATGTGAGGGGTTGTGGGTATTTCTGTGCAAAGTTTGCATGCACCTTCCAAAAAATCTCAATGACTCACATGCTCCAAACCCAGAACGGCATGTTTTAAAAGATCAAGGACAAGTGGCGGCCGACGGATCTGATTGGTCGGTAATGGTTGCTTTGCCTCAGTTTTGTGTTAACCTGTAAAACGCTGCATTACACAGAGGTATAAATCAGCCAACACTGCTGAACTAACAGAGGGCAGGGCTGCATGGCTGGCCTCGCTGTTTATTTTATTTTATTTTATTTATTCACCTGGCTTCCCTTTAAAACACCTTTACTTTTGTGCTATTGTAGACAGACACATCATTATCTGTGAGGAAAAGCTGTTAACGAGTCATCGTCTGCTTCTGATTTGGATGAAGGCGGCTGTTTAGTCCTGCTAGAAACGTGAATGAGTCAAAGCCTGTTTACGCTTTCCTCTGCTGCACTGTTTGTTCCTATTTGTACCCAAACAAGGATTATCTCTGAGCTTGCAGTTTAAATAAAAACATCCTGATGGTGAAAAATATTCAGTTCAAAAAGAAGTTCAATTCTGTGGGCCGATTCAGATTCCTGATTTTTTTTCTCCTTTTTTTTAATCTCCCAACTCCAATTTCTTTCTGAAATCTAACATATTAATAATTATTAGCCTTTTATTTGTTTATAATAAAACATTAATAAAAATATTTAGTCACAAACATGCGGAAGCATAGAACTGCCACCCACGCAAAATAAAATTAGAGCGATTTCACGTATAACGTAACTTTATTGTTCCCACAATATAACTGTCACGTTTGTACAATATGCATATTTATCTTGTTTATACAATTTAATATCACGTTCATATGATATAAATATTTTATTGCACAAATGTGATAATCTATTGTAGTAATGTGAAAATGATATCGTCGGGACAATAAAGTAATGTGTGAGGTTATAACGGGACGTTGCTCATTTTATTTTGCGTGGGTGGCACCTCCGTGCTTCGTACGAACACAACCAGAAAACCCATGAAAAATTAAAGAAATCAGGAAAAAGGTAGAATAACAACGTAGTGGAACATATATTTCAAAACGAATCTCCCCTCCTGAAACATAAAAGGGAACCATTTATTTTTGGACTATAATTTCTACTCATTTTAAATAAATCAGTAATTATCGTTTGGTTATAATTTTGTGTTTTCTTTTACCGTTTATCCTTAATGCTTATTTTCAAGTTTCAAGTTTTTCCAGGTTTGATTTTACTAAAAAAAAATAAGCTGCATAGCTTTGATTTGTTTATAAGTCAGGACAAATTTGGATTTTTGAGCCTATTTTAATCACCTGCAAATGAATTCCTTATTAAAGACTCAAATGGCATACGCAGGAAGATGTATTACATCCGATCCCAAATCGTATAACTTTTAATTTGAGGGATTTTGATCAGGTGTCTTCTCAAAACACGATTTAGATTTAGGACACCGCCCGGGGTGTTGGGAGACGCCCCTGCTCCCCTCATCGCACCTCCCTCTCGTCATGAATAAAAAACATTTTGGACCTGCAAGCACAACAGGAAAAGAAGTTTCTGCCCCCTCATCTGTGGAGGGTTTCTCCTGCGAGTCGCCAAATCAAATAACACGCACGCCCACGGATGAGGTTAGCTTCATTTGCAAGATAAGTTGTTGTAACCACACACACAGTGCCGACAGCGAGGCGAGGAGGGCAGACGTCAAAGCGTAGGCGCTAGATCTCTGTTCCCACATCCTTCACCTTCACCGGATCCGAGCAAAGAGCCCTGACGTTTACTTCAGCTCTCGCGCACTACTACAGGCACCGCCAAATGTGGACACAAGCACGAAAACACGCCCTCTGAAAACGGCGTTTTGGAGAATTGCTTCAATAAGACTGGAGGGCTCATGAGGCTTTTTTGCATGAACCGAGGTCACAGCGGCTAAAGCGGTGCAACTTTTTTTTTCTCTTTCTGGCTTTCTTCTTGCTTCATTAAGACCATGACTGGCCTGGTTGCTGGTTGTAGCGTTGAAACTCTTATTTTCATCTGAAAGTTGATCAAAATGTCCGAATTTATGTTAATAAAGGGGACTTTTTCACTCTGCCCACACCAGTCAGAGAACACCTCTTATTTGAGTTTATTTTGGATAAACGAGGACTAGTTTGATGTTGTTAAAATAAACCAGATTAACTAGGAAAATCCGTCTGATCCAGCTCAGATGGTGAATTAACTGTAGTGTGTTTAGCTTTTTTTAGCCCCTGATCCTGAGCGCTTTGATTCAGGTGGATTCTCTCTTTGTCTCTCCTGCAGGGCAAGAAGAAAAGAAGAAAAAGGGAGAAGCAGCAGGACTCCAACACAGGTGAACATTTACTATTCTGTCTCCACTCCTGTCTGTTTTTTGGGCTGAAGTTGCGTCGGCGCCCTGATGCACACGCGACATTTTGGAGGCAGGATGTGTGTCTGACGTCACATCGCCCACCCCCACTCTACCTTACATGGAACCTGAATTATAATCCGTGTGTGTGTGTTCAGATGATAGGGAGTTTTTGTTTAGAGGCTTGTTTTGGATAGGTTAGTCCCGAGTAGGCCACTCAGAGGCAAATGAGGTGAACATTGGAGAACAGTAAATGTGTTTATGAAGTTTGCAGACACTAACGAGTTTTCCAGCATGGCTGCTTCCCGCTCTGTCTAACTGTTGGTTATTCTGCCGTGTGCTACAACAGTCTACTAACAGACGGCCCTTATTGGTGCTTTTTCCTGTCCTGATGTGCTCCTATTTCTCCTCCTTTGTCTCTTTATTATTTGTTTTTTTTTTCCTTTTCTCCGTTTTGTGCATGCCGCTCGTTGTGCTCAGACCCGGGCTCGCCTAAGAAATGCCGGGCTCGCTTCGGCCTCAACCAACAAACGGACTGGTGCGGTCCTTGCAGGTGTGTACCAACCATCCACCGACTTCACGTAGAGCCAGGCTGCTACCGCTGCTGCTGTGTCTGTCCCACTAACTCCCAGTGCTTCCTCCCAGTCAACCATCTCCTCACCAGTGTCCCATTTCTGTTTCATTCTGTCACATCTCTCTCAACCTTGGCTCATTTGTCATGTGTTGAATTAACCAATCCTCACCCACAGGCTTTAGATCTAATAACTTCAGTCTTTTCATAGTTTTTTTTAAGTATTTTTCATGTCTGGAAAAAGTATGAAAACTACATTAGTAAAGGGATATTTCACCGCAAAGTCAAATTTTGTCTGTTGCCATAGTATCCATGGTTAGATTAGATAATAAACCATGTGTAGCCATCCCAGTCATTGTCCTGACCCGGCAGTGCTCCTTTAGCTTTAGCTTAGCGTAAAACAATGTAAGTGAATGGTACCAATTAGCCTTGTGTGTGTGAAAAGGTCATTAAAATTACTCTACAGCGATCCTAATTCTACTTGGTGACCTAAATAAGCATATTGACTGAAAGTGAAAATAATAAATAACACAAAGGAATCAAAGGCACCATTTTGGACTTGGGACTACTTTAATACAAACCCAGCCGTAAGCCTCCGTCCAACGGTGCAAGGCAGCCTCAAAGACACTGGATTTTTTCCTAATTATCTAATTATGGAGAGTATGGCAATAAATACTATTTCACTGTGCAGTAGAATATCTCTTTAAAACACTTTAGTACTTGGACAAAAAAAAGTTATGTGTATAATGTGTCAGTCAAATGTTGCCTAAGCCCTAAACCAGACACAATTTTTAATTTTAATATAAGTAAAGTTAAAATCTCAAACGTGTGCAGATTAAATAAAACCTCGACCACCATCCAAACTCATCCTAGACATGAAAAATGGGACCACATTTTTTCACCTTCAAATACGGAAGTCTTCTAGGGTTGTAAAATATATAATCAGATTAGATTGATAATCTCTTCTCTGGTGTGTAAACGTTCAAGTGGATAGCAGGGAATACCACTCACTTAACCAGCTGGATCGTGTTCATGCATATTATTAAAATTAAGGGTCCGTTTTGTTCTGATGTACATAAAAAGTAATAAACTTTATTAATAGCAATCATTGACAACATTTTTATGTTTTAGGTTGTTTACCTGAAGAAAATTGGGGATTAAAAGTTCTCTGAAGGTACTTGATTTAATTTTATTTTCAAAATAAAAGAAGCGACAACAGAACTTCTGCTGAAATCAAATGTTTTTTTAAGCCGAGCCTCTTTTGTTCCACCCTTCTTCCTCAAACCTTTCTACGAATCGCTCACCAGAACAGCACCAGTCCAACAAAAAAAAGCCTTTTCTTGGCATTTTCTCACAGCTGCATCATTTATTTTGCTGGAAAACAGAAGAGTGTGCCACATAAGCCAGCAGCAGGTCTGTCTGCACCTCTGCTCTGCTCTGTTTTAGTCGCAGCAGGACTTACAGCATGTGACAGTCAACGTCTCTGCTGCAGGAATCAGGAATCTGTGTGGTTCTACATGAAAAACTGCTACCACCACATCACTGTAGCAACCCCGTCGTCTTCCCCGCTGTCACGCCATGGAAATCTAAGTGTGTGTGTGTGTGTGTGTGTGTGTGTGTGTGTGTGTGTGTGTGTGTGTGTGTGTGTGTGTGTGTGTGTGTGTGTGTGTGTGTGTGTGTGTGTGTGTGTGTGTGTGTGTGTGTGTGTGTTCGGTTTGAGAGAACAAAGGGGGCTGAATGTGGTTTGAGCAAATCCTTATCACCACAGCCTAACACACAGTCTCACTGCAGCTCTGCACTCTGACAGCGTTCTCATGCCCATCTGCTTTCAACTTTCTCCATTCATGCGATGTGGTGACGGGCGCCGTTTGATGGTGAACTCTGACATTTAGAAATCACTTTCTATTGCAGCCATCCTCCTTTTCTCTCCCTTCTAAATATGGCCCCAGTGCCTTTCGTTGCGGTTCAACGTGGTGACTCATATCATATTCTGGTAACGATCATGGGATCCTGTTGACTGCTTTGATGCTGCACTCAAGTCCGCTTTTCAGTACAACACCTCCCAAAGTGTGCAGGGTATCGCTGTTGTACTAATGCTTCAGATCTGCTCTGGAATACACGTTTATCACACCGTTTCTCTCTGAATCAGAGATAAAGTTGCTCTTTCTGGTGAGTTTAGGATGTTAATTAGTGAAAAATCGATAGTCTACAATATTGAGACACGGAATCAATATTTAAAAACGGTGTATCCAATTTTTATTTAGAGAATTTACGTCCAAACATTTACTGTATTTCTTTGGTGTGATGCAATTCAAAATCCGACTGCTGGGTGGCAGCAGCTTTTACGACCTTCAGTCTGACGGAATAACGAGATCCCGCGATAACACCGGATGTGTCGAAAACGTCTGACCTGAGTTTGCCAATCAAATTCAGTCTTGGAAATTACAAATACGTCTGAAATTTGGTGTTCAAATACAACGTATCGCCAGATTCTTGCTAATACACACCTCTGTTGTTACAAAAGTTAATTCTGCAGCAAAATCTTAAAATCATTAACCCAAATCTGTTTTTCTCTCAGCAATACATACGTGAAGCTTCTTCAGATTCACAATTTTAATTTGTCTTATTCTTGAAATAATTTAGTTTCAACATGCATCCTTCTTGTTTTTTTTTGTTTGTTTTTTTACCTTTTTGTATATTTTTCTAAAGTTTGTGGTATTCCCTAATTTCAAATAAATACAAATTCAGGAGCATGCAGTGGTATTTGCAATAAAAACCAATAAGGTCAGAAAATTCAGCCATGTGACTAATAAAATCATTAATAATATTCATACTTTAGTCCCTTAAAGGGACATATTATGCTAAACTCAACTTTTGATTCCTTTTTTGCTGCCATGTGGGTCTCTGTCACATCTATAAACATTCAAATAGTGACATCACAAATGGGGAAATTAAAATAGAAAGGAGAGCTGCTGCCTCTCCAGCAGCAACTCTACTCAGAGCCCCTCCCAGATAGGGGAGCTTCTCAGCTTATAGCGGCCTTAGTCTGCGATAGATGGGAGTGGCCAACTCCAGATGTTTTCTTAAAGTAGCAGAGCCCTGAAAGGGCTCATTCTGGAAAGTACTGAAAATGTCAAGAGTGACAGGGATTTACTGCAAAGAAATCAGTGAACATGTTTGCTTTTGACCCCAGAACTAATATAACTTAAGGACATATGTCACCTTTAATCAGATCCTAAATGTCCTTTAGACACACTATATGGAAGCCAGTTTTTGTTTTATTACAATTATATATAATAATTCGTAAAATGAAGATGAAACCACTAATAATTTAGCTTGTGTTTGTCTTCATTTTCATTGACCTCATTGTGAATGCTGCATCTCCACTGAAGCCTGCTGACGTTCTACCATCCACACTTTATTCACAGATAACTCTCTCTGACTGTCCCTAGGAGGAAAAAGAAGTGCATTCGCTACCTTCAAGGAGGAGGCTGCCCCAGTCCATCTTCTTCAGATCTAAGTGCTATAGACTCTCCTCCCTCCCCTTCTCCCGCACGCCACCATCTCTTCCAGCGCCCCCCTTCTCCTGGCTGTTCGCCGCTGCCCACCTCCCCATCAACACACCTCCCATCGTCTCCGCACACGCACTCACACACACGCTTCCACCCGGAGCAACCCGCTGGCAAACGAGCGGCAGACTTCCGTCAGCCCGTGGTCAAACTCCCCCACACACACCTGGAACTGTCCAGCAAGCAGATGCACTGCTCTACAGCACTGTCCGCCGCCAAGGTGGCAGGACTGTCCCTCAAAGTGCTAACAGAGACTCACTGATTGATCTGTTACGATCGCCCAGCTGGATTTCTACACCATTATCATCCGTTCACAACATTCCTGCTTTTAATCCCAGTTGTTCCACCGTAGGAGATCTGCAGGTTCCAGCTCCACCACACCGTCACTGTAAATGAATAATTTTTAATGATCTGCTGTTCTTTGGCTCAACAGTTGCTGCTTACTTCATGACAATCAGCTGTTTTGCAAACACAAAATGATTAAAAACTGACACGAATCTCTCTTACGTCTCGGCCGTGATGCATCACTAATGCTAACCAAACCACTAAATCATGCGAGAACAACAACATCCCAGCAGAACCGCAGATTTTTAGAGAAATTTGTTTTTATTTTTGCTGCCAATGTCACAAAAAGTTCAATTAAGAGAATAAACCACTTGTTTTCAGGCACTTTTAGGATTTTAATCTCCAGCTTCAACCTTTTTTTTTTTGTTGTTTTGTTTTTCCTATTTTTGTCGATGACTTGTGAAATTTTTAGTCGGATGTTTGTTTCTCCTTTGACCATTCCACACATTCTGCAAACTCATCTGAGACCAAATGGGTACTATAATATTATGTGTTGTAAAGTTTTATATTATAAATAAAATTTTGTATGTTTTTTATGAAAAAAATGGTAAATTACTTTAAAAAGTTTTTTTTTCTAAAAATGTGTTTTTTTGTTTTTGTTTTTTTGGAGTCAAGTGTTACTGCAGCAGCATTCAAACTATATCTGTGCATGCCTAAACTTTGTTACATTTCTGAGGGTTTTATATAAAAGGCTTTAATTTACTGTCTGCTTGCAGCTTCCCAACTGTGGATAAAATGTATGCTGAGTTGTTGTCTTCCTCCAGCAGAGGGTGCCCTTATAATACAAATCTGTGCTTTTCTATTCGGGGCATTCAGGTTTGAGGCACACACACACCTCTAAGATGTCTTTGTATCTTTGAACTCCTGGTGTGTTGTTTTTGTTTGATGTAATAAAAGTGTTTGGAATATCTCTGAAGACTGCAAACTTAAAATTTTAAGGATGATTTCAAAGTAAATTTAAAGAAAAAGAGCCAAAGAAACAAGAAAATGTAACACATGCTCTCTGAACAGGTTTTATTTACTCCTTCAATGTGGATTTCCTCAAAGTTTCCAGTGTCAAAACATGAATCTGGAACTCGCTCTGCATGATGGACATCGTTCCGCCTTCAAACAGCTCATTTTTATACACAAGTTCACAAAACCGATACATTTACAGAGCAAAAACAATTCACCCTCCTGTTTCCATCGGCAAAAAAGTGAAGGTTGTTTAATTATCTAAAAGAAAACATTGCCATAGAAAAAGAACAAGGATACGAAAAATGTAGCTTTTTATGTTTTAGAGGGAAATACAAAGCCATGAAACCATGAATATAATTATATTCATGAGTGGAAACGGTAACAAGCGTTTCAGCTTTAAATTAATGACACCATACAGGTCAGAATTAAATGTTCATGCTTTTATTGGTACACAGAAATAATAAGCTGGGGGATGGTAATTATACTAAAATATTAACAAGTATGAACATCGCCAGTGCAACCAGTTACAGATCGTTTCAGTGTGGTAGTGTTGGCAGCATCTTCCCTTTTACTTTTCTTCACACCACTGGTTCTCTTTGCGTACCTGTGGACAAAAAGCAGTTTAAAAGCTTTGTTTTCCTTGAGCATCACTTTTGAGGACTGTTTTTTTTTTTTTTTACCTGGGCTTCCTCCTCCTCCGTGAAATCGTTTTTGATGTTGAACGTCTTCCTGATCTCCTCTGGGGTTTTGCCTTTGATCATATTGGCCACCGTCTTGCAAGTGACGTCTAACAGGCCTTTGATGTCCAAATAGTTGGCGGCCTGAACAGAAAATAAATGACATTCGGATGTGGAAGATGCTGTGAGATGGCACAAATGCCTCTGATGAATAAGTAACTTTAATGTCTAATATAGGAACTATGAATAAAAGTTTTACATCAGTAAAGCTGGGCCAGTTAGCGTTAGCATGTTAAATACAGAACTATTACAGGGTAACTGCAGGTTTAAGGGAGTCAAATTTAAGACTTTTTAAGACCTTTTTAAGGCCACTTTGACCAAATTTAAGCTATATTTTAAAATTCAATTTCTGCTATAATTTCCAGCTATTGCCTGGAACCGGTGCTAACCACGTCGCGAACGTGGGATTAGCCGTCCAATTACCATTAAACTTGCACTTCTCCATGGCGTAAGCTCCCACTAGCTTAATCAGCTAATGTGCTCATCTAAAACTAGCCCCCTTTCACAACCAACTGAATGTGTACGGTTCCGCTTACGCCAACATCGTACACAAAAAATGCTGAACACTAACTGGAAATTCACGAAAATGTCATAGAAATGAAATAATCTAGTTTATTGGGTCTTTGGTAATTTAAGACCTTTGGAAACTGTATTTAAGGATCATTTGTCATTTTTAAGGATTTTCAAGGCCTTAAATTTGGAAAAGTAAATGTAAGACTTTTTAAGGACCTGCGGATACCCTGCATTATCCAAATCTGCTTCCACTTCATTAACAAGGAACTTTTTATACAACTTAAAATCAGCATCTGTCTCTTTTACTAGATGTTGCTAAGCAACATTTGTGTTTTTGGTGATCAAATCAGACCACAAAAAAGACAGAATTAGGGATGTCCCGATACGACACCGATTTCAATACGATACCAGCACAAATCATACTTTTACCTATTCCGTAGTGTGGAATGTATGAAAGGCTTGATGAAGTGATATTACTCAATCGGAGAACAAGAGCCAATAACAGTAAGTATGAAAAAAAATTTGACCCTTTTTTTAAACCACTGGTCGCAAAAATGTGAACCTTAACAAACTGCTTATATTGGAGATTTATGATGCAGTCCGATATAATCCAATAGTGTTTTTGGGCCGATAATGAATTGCTTCTGATATCAGAATGGGACATCCCTAGACAGAATACTAGTGATGCACCGATATCATATATCGGCGATATGAAATTTTTGTGCCGATACCGATATTTGTCGATATCGATATACTGGCATTAATGCTTCTAAAATCAGCAGATTTTGTATAGAATGAAAATTATAAATTATTAAAGCTGGATTTACATTATTATGTACACACACCACACACATTTATGGTTCTGAAATGATTTCATTCACTGTTCACAAGACTAAATTACACATCACCCTCTGAAACAGGCAAACAAATGGGGACAAGATGGAAAAATATCGGTTGTTAATATTGGCCTGGTTTTCTTTATTGAACCGATATGTTAAAAAATAGCTAACATCAGCCGATACCGTTATATTGTCCATCCCTACAGAATACCCAATTACACAAAACTTGACAAAAAAATTTTTTTTTTAAATAATCATCAAACGAGGACATTTGAAGTAACGGGTGTAAATAAAGATCTGGATCGGAGTTAAGAGAAAACAAGCACTTATATCGTTTGAAGAACATATTCATGGGGCTTTGGGACATTCTGACGTGTTTCTGTGTAACACATCAGTTTTTATCTTACTTCTTGTAGACAGCTTCCTGAAGAGCCTCAGTTTGAAGAAAGTGTTTACGTTTTAACTAATGATGTGCTAAAGCTAATCCAAACACAAGTGGATCGCTAACGTCTCCAAGCTGCTCTTATAAACTACATTTCAAATCAGTTCACATGAATAATTATAGCTGTACAATACAAAATAAGTTGCCTTTTTAAACACTTATTTTATTTATAGTAATGTTTACAGTGAGCGCATTTTAGGCTGAGTGTTATGGAGAGCTGCGGCGAAGAGGTCGGCTGCCAATCAGAATTTGTAGCAGAACTATATCTAAACTATGTGTAATATTTGCAAAAACAACAACTTTTCTGGTTTTGCCTGACCCAAACTTCTAATAATGACCTAAAAACAGAGAGGACATTTTTCCAGTTGATTCAACCTCAAGAGTTAAGAATTCTGCTGAGGGGTGAAAATCTGTTTAAGGGGTGCGGGAAAAGCATCAATTTCAATGTAGCTAACGCATTTAGCAGCAAAATAAGAATAATGTTTAATGAAACATATTTACCAGAATGAGTTCAAACAAGGTGCCTTGGTCCACTTTGAGGAACTCCTGGTCCCAGACGGGAATGTCGTCCGTCCTTTTCTCTTTGTTCTCATCATCCTCGGGAGGAGGAGGATCATCTTTGTGATGAGTGCACCACTGAATCACCTAAAGGGGAAAACATGTTTATTCTTAACTGAAACTACATAATTTTATACATTCGTGTTAAGATTTACGCAGACAGAAACATGTGCACAACATTGCCCTGTGATGAAGGAATTTTGAGATCTTCTGCTGAGGTGCATCTACACGTACAGTTTTACCTTTATCTGGATTAAAGGAGCGTGTCAGTTGATTTGGCAGGACAGAACATAACAAAGACAGACTGAGCATCCTCTTAATAAGTTATATAGGGCTGCCATGATTAGTCGACTCGTCACAACATCAACAAACAAAATACTCGACTACTAATTTAATAGTGGATGCATTATTTATTCTGTGACCATTATTTTTAATCTCGCCTGCTGCGGCACATTTGGCGGTTGCTTCCTGACTTTCTGCTCAAGGCACATGCGCATTAGTCCCCATCCGGGTCAGTGGCTGTTTTCAGCTCCGAGGCGCATTCGCAGTAGTGGCCATCCAGATCAGCCTTCGTCACCGGAGAAAGAAGACATAGCGAGTCGGCAACATAGCTCAAAAGTTTTGGAGTATTATACATAAGACTAAGGAAAGCACATAGTGCAAACTCTGCAAAGGGAAACTCTCCTTTCACGGGAGCACATCGGCGATGCATGAGCACCTTACAAGGAAGCACGTCATGGCAGAGAATAAAGAGTCGCCTCTCTAAGTTTACCTCTTTAGCTGCTAGCATCAACAGAGAGTTACTTGTAGTTATAGGTGTAGCAACACCAGTAGCGGTGGCTATTTTTATTACCATTAGAACACGTTTGTATGTCACGTATTTTTGCTCCAATTACAAACGATAATGATTTCATCCCGCTACGCTACAGTGTTAATAAAAATGCTCCTCTTCAATGGACGAGTTGGTTACGTGAACACCTCAGCAAGCTAACGTCCTGACCATGTTGGTCATGAGACTCCTGTCCATGGTCGGTGATCGAGGTTTCAAAAAGATGATCAAGGATACCACGACAACTACCTACCAGGCTGATGCCCATTCACCAGCATGATGGAAAAGAAATACGAAACAACCTTTAAGGTGTGTGCGCGTGTTCAAGTCTTAGTCTCTTTCTCTCTGGACACAAATAATTATTGGAATTTAATGTGTTTTATGATCAAATAAAAAGGTTGCTGACTGAGCAATCAGGAACCTAATATTGGTGCATAATACAGTTTACATGTGTTGAATTTTAATCTACTTTGTTTTATAACAGAATTATTAATTTGGTAAATAAACTAAATTTAATATCTTTACAATAAAGCAGACCCTCAAAGCTGTCGATGATCCCCTGACTGCTGACGGGTGTACCAGCCATGCTACAGAGGCGCACCTTGATGTGCCCTGCTATTTCCTGAGTTAAGATTAGAATACATTTTGCGAACACAAGTAATTTTTTGTAGACAATTTATTTTTGGTTTTAGGTGCCTACCTCCATTTGACTGTAGCATTTGTATTAATAAGTTATGAAGTTAATTAAAAGTTGTTTGATAAGCTATCATCTTGTCTTTATTATTAGATGGCACATAACGGATTAAACTTCAAACTAGAAGCTAATGATGGGTATATTAGAGCAGCCTGGTGCAATAACCTATAGTTTTTTTTGAATGACACGATTAGTCAACTATTGTGGTATACCCAACTGTCACGGTGAAATCCAGAAATCAAATAAAAACCAATCACTTTTCTCCCATCGACTGATGTGAAACAAATCTGATGACTCTGCTGTTGTCATTGTGACAGCTGTGCGTTCTGTACCTTCTTCAGGATAGCCGCGTTCACATTAGGAAGGGGAACTGGGTCATCATCTCCTTCATCGTCCATTCCCAAGTCTGACCACACACACACAAAAAAAAAAAAACGTTAAAATTCAGCCTCAACCCAAACGATCTTTACTGTTAATTAAAAAAACTGATAACTCTTTTTACGTCAGTTATAAACTCACAAAATCAAGTTTGAACGTTTGAAATGAACAGAACATTTTACCTTCCAACATGGTCTTGATGGTGACGGATTGTTTGGCTATCTCAACGTCTACCTCGAAAATTTCCCCATCAGAACTCTGTAGTTTTATCGTGGGCATTTTCTGGAATGAACAATAATATTCATTCAGTGCATTTACTGCTAATTTTGCGACAATAGCAGACGTAATCCGCGACGAATTGTCTCAATTACCAAACTAAGCCAGCAAACAACAAGCTAACGAAAAACTAACATACAATTAGCTCTTTGTATAAACAAAAGCTATTGATTTGATAAATAATACCTATCATAAGACTTGCCAGATGCACTTGTGTGTTCATACTGAATAAATACCACCTGTTGTAAATCTAATTTATTTGAGAAGCGCTAATGCCCAAGCTAACGATGACACAAGCTACAAGACGGAAATGCTAAAGTTAGCTAGTTTCCGTGTGCTTAAAAGAAAAATACATTGAAAGATGTTCGCTATTACAAATAATGGTAAACAAATACATGTTAATCACAGGCGAGACAATCAATTGTGTCTAAAATGTATGTCACAAAGCTTAAATCTTGACTCTTCGTTTCGCCAGCTCTTTGCTGTCAGCTAGGCCTCTTTGCTACATCATCGAGGCGTTTCAAATTGACGCATAAACCTGACGTGAAAATCTATTTAAACCTAACTTTATCAGGTCACCAGAACATGAAGCTACATACCGTGATTATTTAACAAAAACTCAAAGGTTATATATCCTTAGGAGTCCGTTGGAAGGCCTAGACTTTAAGTGACGAACAGCGGCTAAAAGCCTCTGGATCAACCTTTTCCGCTGTATGGCAATCCGTTGTAACATATAATCATGTTAATGCCCTACAATTTTTTTATTTGTTCTAAACAAAACAGCATTTTCATTAATTACATTTAAAATGTCTGTACAAGTTAAACCGTGATATTATTTAATCTTGCAGAATAAATTATAAAGTAAGGTGATCAAAACGTGCCAAACATAAGCTATTAAACGTAAATACGTATATGTCGATGGTAAATACCAGTTGTCTTGTCCCACAGTGTATATTTAGTAAGGTAGATACTTAACAACACCTAAAAGCAAGCAAGTGCCGATTTCCTTTAAACAACCCCAGTACAATTCCGATTTTATATGATAAATTGGCTTCCCTTAACAACATGTGCTAATGAAGGGAGCACAGCAGGGCCGAGCTCAAATCGTGGCGGTGGCTACCAGTCAGCATCGCTTCTTGTTTACCTAGCTCAGATTTTATTTTGATTGTCTCATCTCGAACCACTTTGATTTTAAATCAGAATTTGTGTTATAAAAAGACAAATACTTTGTCTACATGGAACAAATAAGCTCTTTTGTGATAACAGTGACTTGTCTTGTGCTATTCTATTTTTTTTAATAAAAATAAAATGATCACTTTCTATGTGTATCTTTCATTATAAATCTCTCTGTCAGTGTACCAATAACAATTTAAAGTACATGACTCCTTTTGACAACAGACTACACAAATCATTCATTTATTGTATATGGCATGGTGGTGCGGTAAGAAAAATTTATGTCATATATCAAATGCAAAATAATATTTAAAAATATTAAATTTAAATATATTTATTTTTGAAAATGTGTAAGTCTAATTTATTAGTTACACTTTGTGAAGAGATAACAGGAAGCACTAGGGTCAGTGCCTGCGATTGTCTATGTGTGGTGTCGTGCCTATTCACAACCACAGGGTGGCGTATTTCCCCTTTTTTCCAGCAGATGCGACTTGTTTCCAGCAGGATCCAGGCTGGCTTAGATTGCTCTGGAAAAACTTAATAAAATTGCATTTATGCGCCTTTTATTTGAAATAACACAATTCTCAACATTAAGTTTGCTTGTTTTGGGCAATTGATACTTCTGTTCTCAATACAATCTAATATTATGGAGCACAATAATTTAAATTCACATTTAAATAAATGTATTTTTTATGTCTTCGCCTTGCTGTGTCAGTGTAATTACAACTGGCCAGAGAAATCCAAATATAACTAGACTTTTTACAAGAATGAAGAATAACCAAAAACACAATTCAAGAAGTCATCTTTATTATTCTAGTAGGTTATTATAGTCTGAAGCTAAAAGGAAGCAGGTGAGTTGATGAACACTCCATCTTTTCTATAAACCAAGCCATCTGACTGCATGAGAAGGGATTTTCCTAAAACATACACAGGTCAAAAAAAACTGAAGGTTTACATGCAATTTAAAAATAAACAACAAAAAAACTATCAATAGCGTGAAATCGTATTAATCTTTTTGACATATTTAACATTTCTTTAACTGTACAAAAGTGCAAACAAATCACATTCAAATCTCAAAAACCATGGTCTGTAGCAGCAAATTAGTCTTGGACTTTGGTGCCGTCAACCCAGCTCCATATGTACAGGAGGAGGAGCCGAGACATCCAGGATGTTCTATTTTGTCATTTCAGATACAATAAATATTTAAGTGATCATGGCACACACCTTTTGGTCCGTTTATAGACACATTTGCTTTTGCGAAATGCTTTAACTAGATTGGATAAACACAACGTGCAACACTGCAGCCTCTCAGGCCTCCATCACGTTGTTTTCAGTTCAAAGTCAGATAGGTTGGTGGTTCTGGACAGGACCGGACCGGACCGTGCGCGGGTCGAGACTGCAGGTTTACAAGAAGTAGTCTGGGGTGCGGCGAGTTACATGGGGCTCTCCTCTGCGAGGCGCTGGATCAAACTGCAAGCTGAGGAGGAACATCAGGAAGAAAAAAAATCACAACTTATTCTAAGATTTCTTTGTCCACTCGTGATGAAATTCGCCTGCTTACAAAGAGTATTTGAGGGTGTCGTCTAGCTCCATGATGGCTGCCTGGTTTCCACAGCGATAGCAGTAGTTAGGAGCACTAAAAATGGTCACCACGTTCCTCTCATGGCACCAGTTGTAGCCCTGAGGTAAGCAGATGTAATATTAACACGCATCTGAACTTAGCGGCACTGCTTCTTTGTTTTTAATCATCTTTGGACACAAAGACAAACCTCCATGACCAGCTGATGGGCGCGGGACACCAGCGTGAGGCGGTTGGCGTGGTTGAACGTTTCAGAGATGTCCTGACCAAATGTGTAGCCAGCTCCTCGGGGAGAGATGCCCCAGCCGCCGCGGTCGTCGGGGTCTGACCACAGCAGGTCGCACATGGGACCCTGCGTGACAACGAGAATGGTCACAAACGTTTTTATCTTTATCGTTTCGTTGCTGATCTGCACCACATTTAACGTCTTTCTTTACCTCGTGCGGCACTTCCTGTAAACGATCCAGAGCTCTGATGTGATCCAGCGTGTCTATAGACGGTGATAAGCCCCCGTGGAGGCAGAAAATCTGAGGAAAAAAAATCGATAATTATAACAAATTATGATGCTTTTCAAAGAAACGTCAAGTTCGGTCTTTTTTATTACGCTCCTCTCACCTGAGAGTCTACCAGCGCAGTGAGGGGGAGGTAATCGAACAAGTCTGTGAAGTATTTCCAAACGTTTGCGTTTCCGTATTTCCTTAAGCACTCGTCGTAGAAGCCGTAGACTTGTGTGATCTGTCTGCTCTCGTGGTTCCCTCTGAGGATCGTGATGCGCTCCCGGAAGCGAACCTGAAACACAAACATCTGTTTACGTCGCGTTTTTCACCCCAAAGAGGAAAAAAAAAACTGTTTTAAATGTCTGACAAGGTCACCTTAAGAGCTACAAGTAATGTGACGGTTTCTACAGAGTAGTACCCTCGGTCCACATAGTCCCCCATGAACAGGTAGTTTGTGTCCGGCGATTTCCCACCGATCTTGAACAGCTCCATGAGGTCGTGGAACTGGCCGTGCACGTCGCCACACACGGTCACTGGACATCTCACCTCCTGGACGTTGGACTCTTTGGTCAGGATCTCCTTTGCCTGCAGAAGGAAAGTTGATTAGAGAATTAAAACTTGCACAAGCCAGGCAAAGGCCACCATTTTCTTTTTGTCTTCATTCAGGCACAGCCCACTTCCTGCTAGCGCTTACAACGGCCTCCATCACGTCTCATCAGGATGCTGCACACGGAGCGGGGCTGATAGCATTTTGATGCAGCGACTAGCTTCCTGTGGGGCGACCCTGTGGTGCACGGACGGGCAGCTCTGGCTGCACGGCAACGTTTCTAAAAATCCATAAATGTGATCCTCCGAAGATTAAAAGGCAAGTGCAGAATAAATTTTAGTGGATTTGCATAAAAGTTTTGGTTCACTTTGACGTTAATTCACATCGGATCAGACAAATTAGATTAACGTGTTAAATTCAGAAAAATAAATGTGATTCTGGATTATTAAAGCATTTTATTTTTACCCATAAATCATCAGAGGGGCCTGACTGGCTGCTGCAGAGCATGACTCAGCATGTGGCCTACAGCCAGAGCCAGAGGAAGTCACCATTAAAATAAGACAGGATTTACCACCAGTTGGCTTGATTGGTAACCTCCAGCTGTGACTGCTTTTATGTTTCCGATTGTTTTACCTTCATGGTAAATCACCCGGAATTTGGCCGTTTGCTGAGTATTTTTGTGAGCTGTGTGACCGTGGATCCCTTCACAAACCAGAGAACGAGTGTGTTCCTTGGCTGGTGGCCAGCTGATGGGATAGAAACCCAGACGGGCCAGGATGGCGCTGCAGCGTTGCACAACGTTGACCTACATTGCATCCAAACTCCACGTGTCCCGACCGGCGTGCGGCAGGAGGCTTCGGGGGCCACACTGAGCCACAAATCTCTAAAGCAAACAGAGGCACTAAGCCAGAGAAGAATATTCTAGGTGTCTGGATGAAAGTGGAACACAAACACACAGGACCCATCTTTGAATGGATGAGGCGACAGGAGATAAAGTGGATCTGTCTGGGTTCCTCATCCTAGTCAAACCGTAGACATATCTACGTCTACGAGTTCACGTCGGTGTCATGGCTCATGATGCCGTCAGCACGAAATGGAACATTAGAAAGGGATCTTTGACGCTGCCGTAGTCATGAAGACGAGCTTTAATTAAGTCCAACGTATCAGGTTCTGAGCCAAACTCGTCCATCAACACCTGCTGGAAACCCTCGGGTCGTTTCAGCTTACGGAGAAATCAGGTGATGTTCAAAAAGAGCAGAAACGATACATGTACTCAAAAAATAAGGACTTTGGGGATGTTTTCGAAGCTCGTTTCTGTGTAAATTTTATAATCGCTGCTAAACTAAGAAATCCCTGTCGAACTGGACCCCTGGGTGCAGCTGAAGCTGCTGGTGGTCGCAATGGCACAACTCCATCGATCACTCCCCTCGAGCTTATTTGGGTTACATTTTAAACCAAAAGCCTGATGACTCAGCAGCTTTAAAAAACACAAAGGCAATCGCCTAAAAACTAAATGAAACCAGTCATCCTTCTCAAAATTAGATTGTTAGGATGACATAACGCAATAACAATCAACACAAAAATAATAATAATAATAAATAAAACACCGCACAGGATTAAGCTCTAATCAGAGATTACATAAAGCTGGATGAAGATGTGACCTTCTTCTTCAATCTCTTCATCATCTACGAGAGATGATGATGATGATGATGATGATGTCAATCCAGGTGTAGAAAAAATACCAACAGCCATTACGTAAACACCTCGTCTAAAGTTCCAACCACACCTGCCAGAGCGGCGAGGACGAGGCACGCCCTGCCAAATTCCAGCTCTGCCCAAAACGACGTCAGTCAACAAACCGCGCAAGCACAGAGAAACCAAGTCAGCGTTTTCTGAGTAAGAGCAATCCCATTAAAACGAGCAAAGTGTTTCCACACAACAACTTGGAGCGATAACACCCGATGATGAGGAGAAACTGCAACCAGAAATGATGATGTCACACATGATGACTGTGGTTAAAGGTTAAACTGCTTTAGCCGCCCTACAGACGGCTTTTCTTACTGCTTCTGTCTTGAAACGGGTCCCGCAGAGGTACTCTAGGTAGGGCGACCATCGACACATTACATCACTGTCTGACCTTATGTGATGCCACATGATTGTTGCACTCAAATAGGGACAGAAATCTGAATTTTGCATTTTGTTACGTGAGGCAAAAATAAAGAGCTTATTTATGACAACTAATTTTATTTTAACCGAGAAAAAAGATCGCCAAGAGGGGAACAACACATTTTCTCTATGTAATTAACCAATTGATTCACTAATCTTTTAATTTTCCAGATATATTCAGGCCACCAAGAGCTGACTGAACTATAAAACTTCATTATTTAGCCACCTACTGGAAGAAACTGCAGCAGTTTTTGCTGAGAAAGCTGGAAAGGAAGAAAATGACTGAGAAGTGATTACATAGCACATCACTTTCCTTCACACACACATCCCATAACAGAGATGGCTGGCTCTCTGAGTCACAACACACTGCTGTCCTCAGTCTCACAGTCTGATCTCCGTAGCAACAAAGCTTTGATGGTGCTGCTGGTGATGCAACTCACAATCAATCACATCCTCTGCTATTTTTAAAGTGAGGAGGATGTTGTGTGGGTGTTTTGCTGGAAATTTTAGCAAAAGTGCACAGGAGAAAAGATGGAGGGGTGGATGAGGTGGGGGGGGGGGGGGGGTTTCAACTGACCTCATGGTTGTCATTAAACCAAACATATCCTCCATTTCTGTTGTTTTAAGGACTAAATGAAACCGATCACTTTAAGATAAAAAATAAATGAAACCAAAACACCTCATCTCTTTTGGCGGACGGAGACAAAACAAAGCAGTAATTTGAGTCACAGCTGAGGCCAGACCCATGGAGACTGAGGTCTTGGCCCACGGTGCAACGGGGACATTTTTAAAACTACAGGAAGCAAACATTACAGCTGATCTAGAAAAAAAATGTTGATATTTATGATCTGCTCGAGACTAGATGCAGGTAAAAAGATAAATAAAGCCCATCCAAACTAGCCTTCTGTCGGTATATTCTGGAACCCTGCATGTTTTATCACATGAACAAAAAACAGATCAACATAATAACACAAAAGCATTATTAGAGAATCTGATTAAAGATCATTGCTGATATTTTCCCACTAGCCCATCAGGTCATCATCTAGATCTGGAAATCTGCAAAGGTTGTTTAGGACGGATGGCTTTAAACTGCAGGAATCAGTGTTGGACTTTTGGACTTGGATTTAGCCAATGCAGAAATCTTACATCTAATTTTTCCTTTACTTATCACAAAGAAACTGGCTTAAATAAATAAACACCAGTGAAGTGGCTGAAAGGTCAAACGTCAGTCTTGGAGCTTCTGTGAGCACAAAAACAACCACATAAAGATGCTTGAATTGATTTGTCAGACTAAAATAATAGATCCCAGAGGCCCGTGAGATCAATTTAAACCTATTTTTAGGCTCTAGTTTCTGCCCAAAAATAGTGTACCGTTTAATTTTAATGAGACAAGACTGTCTCAATGAAAGTATAAATAAAAAAACATGTAAACAGATCATGCCAACAGGATAACTTCACATCCTCTGGGAAAAAAAATAAAATTAATTATCGAGTTCATGTTTGTGCGGCACTGATAAAAATATTGTTTTTAAACATATTTTATCCATTAAGGCTGAGTTACTCCCAGGGTTCAGTAACTGACGCGGATGCTGTCTATAGGATGAGGAGGGATGTAAATATGCTGTGTGACTGGAATTAAGCTAGCAACGATCCAAACAGGCGGCTGTAATTAATGTAGCCTAGCCTAAAGTTATGAAAAAACGCACCTCACTATGAAATCTACACTATCGACGCCATTTTAAAAATGTCTGAACGACGATAGCTGTTGCAGACAATGTTAGTTTTTTTTGTAACAATTTATTTCCATCTCACCTTTTCACATAGCGCCTTCACTTGTCCTTCGGATAGCTGTTTGCATTCGTTCAGCTGCTCAATCCACTGGTCCAGATCTTTCGTGAACGCCTTTTCGTCCATTGCTGTTTTTTTTTTTTGTGTTTCCTTACCGAAGCGGCGTGTAGTTTGGTTAAAAACCCGCCTCTGCTACCCGTTTTTTGAGACCCTACTCTTTTGAGTTTACAAGCCGGGCAGAGCAGAGGCTAAAGGACCCTCAGCGAGCAGATGCATCCACTTCCAGATCGCTACGATTTGACTGAAGGGAACAACTGAAGAAGAGGGAGAAGCGCCAGCCGGCGATTCACTTGTATCAAGTCGTTTGTTGTTATACAAAGCAGTTCCGGTTAAGACTTTCTAAATAAAAGCACCACGTCGTTACTGTGAATTCAAATTTAAAATAAGCTACATAACAACCAAATGAGTTTTTAAAAAGACTTTGTTCTGTTTTTCAAATTGCTTCAAAATGTATCTTAAAAGCAGAGAAGATGGCAGGATATGTGTCAGTAAAGCATTTTTAGATAATTGTCAGAAAATTTAAAGTCTTTTCAATTCAAACTGAAATTTGTACACAGTCTTGCATAATAACTCTTAGTTTATCATTGTAAACATCTACTTTAGTTGTAAACAATATGTTAATCCTTAAAGTGGTTAGAAATTTGTGATTTATAAAACATGAAAAAGAGCAAAATAGATGAATGATTTTTAAAATTAGCTTTAAAATCTCATGTTAACATTACAGTCACAACGCCTTTTCATCACCCGATGCAACAGATCTTTCCAGTGTAAACATGACAATGACATAGCTTGTATTTATTTATTTATGTCTTTTAGCAGGGCAGAACAGTGAATCAGAGTTGTGGTTGTCTAATAATATTGTTTTTTATTTTAATTTTAAATTTCTTTATATATAAAGAAAAATATATGTGTATATATTTTTTTCAATTACATTTTTATAGAGCTTGTGAAGTGCCTTGTGATTTTTAGCTATAAAGGCTCTATATAAAACAACCTTTCTTCTTCTTAATTATGCAAAAGTTGCTATATACCAATTATGAATCTGTAATATACCTTTTTTAAAGATTAGCTGAGAAAAAAGATAACCCATTGTTTCTTACTTAGAGTAATTTGGGGACATACAATAGCTTTTATTTCATTTTAATGTTCCCTTTTGTATTAAACCTTTATTCTCCAAATAAAATCTTACATTTCCGGTCTAGGTTTACGTCCAACTTCACGTACAGCAGGGCGAGCCGATGATAGCAGCTCAGTGATTGGTTCACAAAGCAGCTTCCTCTGCAATTTCATTGACTCCTCATTCATCAAAGAACAAGTTACAACTCGTTTTAGGGAATACTCACCGCTGCTCACTCGAATTACGATATGAATTCAGTATGTTGTGTATGATGTCCTTTTATTTGGGCCGCGTAAACAATATAAAAATTAAGCTTTACACTGTGTCCACGTGCTTCAGGTAGTGACAAACACACAAAACAGTCCAACAGAAAAACGGCCACATCTGTAAACCGAGTTACATGGATTTGTGTTTACATTCTAAATGTACTTTGTTGTATCTGCTAAATGACATTTAACAAAACTACTCAGATGATGTCACCATTGTGTTTCTGGAATACTCTCGAAATATCTGTTGCATCAGGCGATGCAGTCCACATTAGATGAAAGGGGCGTGGTCATGGTGCTGTAAACATAAGATTAAAACATTCTTCTGATTTACATGCAGTTTCTTTGCACTTGCTTTTGTTTTACAAATTACAGGCATAACTTATACATTTCTAACTATACTTTAAGCATTATGGTCAGATAAAAAAACAAATAAAATGCATTTATTTTTGCCATATCAATCATTATATTTGTGTGATAAATTGTTTTAGAGCATTTTTTTATGTTTTTAAAATTATGCGGTTTTAACATTTTATTTGTTCATTTTCAGTATTTTTTTACGTGACACTGACTTAAAAAAACAAATCAAACAATATTTCCTAGAAAAAAAACATTGAATTTTCTTGACTTCTTACATCCTTCTCTGATATGTCCATGTTTATTTATGTGGTCAGCATGTGGCCAGCTAAGAGGAAAGGACAAAATACAAAATCAACAAATTCTCTTTTTAATATTCACAATAACGTCAATCACCCCCCTTCGAATTTCTAATATTTGGCTGAGGCTGCAAAGACGGAAATTCAAGTACAAAACAAAACAAAACTGTATTTTCTTTGGTTTTGCTCTGCGGGTTAAGGGACTCTCACCACATCATGGGCACTGGACAATTGATGAAGGAATCGTAAGAAAATAAAGAAAAGGTATTTTTGTTCAATATTGTCCTTTTTCTTTTTGTTTAACTTTGGCATGTATTTCTTCTTGAGATCGTCCATCCATCATCCATCCATCCATCCATCCATCCATCTTCATCCGCTTATCCAGAGTCGGGTCACAGGGGTAGTAGCCTAAGTCGAGAGGCTCAGACTTCCCTCTCCCCAGCCACTTGGGCTAGCTCTTCCGGGGGAACCCCAAGGCGTTCCCTGGCCATGTGAGAGACATAGTCCCTCCAACGTGTCCTGGGTCTACCTTTAGTCCTCCTCCTGGATGGATGTGCCCGGAAAACCTCATCAGCCTACTAAATGATTTCTTAATTCTATAGGTCTGGCAGTAACCGGGCCTTTTTGTTACAATTGAAACTACGGTCAGCTTTTCAAATATTAATCACAGTTAAATCATGATTTAGCTCATTTGGTTTGGAAAGCTTTAATCTTCATTTGAAAACCGCCTTTTGTTTTTACTCAGGTTATTTCTGTCTGATAATGAAATTCGTCTACAAATCGGAAACAGCTGAGTGCAGGGCCGGAGTGGGACACATTTTCAGCCCTGGAGTTTCAGACCCCAGACCGGCCCACTTAACGAATTATTATTAAAATCATGTTAGAACTTTATATGTATAGTCTACAAAAGCACACTACTCGTTAAAGCCTTGTAATTCAGTGCAAGAAAGAGTTGCTTTACAATGTAGGTTTATTTGAACATCAGTGCACATCTCCAACATTGTTCTTTACAACACATTCTCTAACAATATAACAATCTACATTCTGTTCAAACAGCTGTTCTGAGATTTTCAAATCTTTAAAATGAAATGACTCAGCACTCCCTTTCACACTTTTTCCAGTTTCCCTAGACTCACCTGCACACAATTAAAATAATCATCTGTAAAGCTTTGGCACATTTGATATGGAAAACACATTTTTGTAACCAAATAAAATATTTTCTATGGCAAAATATGCAGGCTTATTTCATTTGACTTTCATTCTAATAGCGATCTGTTGTGGGCTTTGTGCATTTACTAATAAAAATACAACAGGTCACTACTATTATTTGGACATTAAAATTATTATAATGAAACTAATGTTTGCTTGTTTGCACATGAGTTGGCTCACCTTCTATCCCAACAGGAGCAATACCCTCACTGCTGGCTCCTGGCTCTTCTTCTAACACTACATTGTGTGAAAATTGTCACAATTCAGCATTCATTTTCCTTTTTTACACGCTTTCTGATCAATGCTGAATCATCTAGCATTTTAGAACACTTTCATATAGAGTCAGGATAGTTTTCATCATATAAATTTTAATTATATTCAGTTCACTGACTCAATAAGTAATCCTACCTGTACATGTCCGCTCTGGAATGGTGGGTTTCTGCCTGGTGCTTATTAGGCCTACTGGATCTTGTGTTTGACTCTGAGGGGCTACAAGACAGTTTGGTGGCATCGGTCACATCATACTGTTGATTATATTACATAACGTTATGTCATGACGCCATATAATTCATTATTGATGCTTAATTAACTTGAATGGTGATTTGCAGCCGGTAAAGTTTAACATCTTGACTTGCCTTACCCGTTTTATCTTCATTTGAAGTTAAAGACCGCAAGCTTGTTTGAGAAAAAAAGGTGCTCATTTTTGCACATTTAGCTGCATCTGTTTCCAGCGCTTTCCTCTTTTTAATTCTTGCCTTCTCTGTGCCACCCTTGCTCTTTCTACTTTCCATCTTTCCGTCAACTGCGTGGTCACGTGGTGCGCACAGGCGCATACGGGGGGAAAAAAAACGAGCTGCAGCCTGCAGGTAGAGACAGCCGGGAGGAGCGTATGTGATCAGCCCGGCGGCCTCAGTGCCATGACTGAACACCGGCACCAAAAAATAAAAATAAAATGATAAAAAACAAAAACGAGAGCACCGGCCCATGCGGCCCAAACATCGCGCGGCCCACCGGGAATTCTCCAGACCCTCCCGATTAGCCACTCCGGGCCTGGCTGAGTGTGATAAAAAGAAAAAGAAAAACTTTTTTTTTTACAGAACTGGAGTCAAAGCTTTTGTGAATATTTTCCGTGATTGTGTTTTAGTTTTCCAAGTTTTACGGAAACATGACCAAAACTGTATGTATGGTCTCCAGAGATGACAGGGTGTCCCCAAAGTTTGTTTTAAGATTTAGCGGCGGTGACCAGATGGTCAGTGTTACATAAAGAGGCAATAAGCACACTCAGGTAACACAATACAGAGGTTTAATCCAACACAAGGTTGGCTGCATGTCACATTCTGACAGCATGGAGCCAGCGTGAGCTCCAACATGCCTCTGAGGTTTCACCACCATTTCATCAAAGTCAATCAAAACAGGTGCAGTTAATTGCTGACCTTCGGTGTCTCTTTTGACTCCAACTAGCTGAGTATGTATAGTTTAGTCACTGTAAACTGTGTGTGCCGAGCAATTCTGGATACAAGCCTTTTTAATTCCAGGAAAGCAGATGCAGGCAGGCCGCATGTTTCATGGCTCTGCCAAGCTGTCGGCAGGCTAAAAGGACTGGGGGCACTTGTAAACAACGGCATCACGTACATTCATTTGTGGCAGATGAAAGGATCATGATAAATGGGTTGTTGTGGAAAGTTGGAAGCTAATACTGAGCGCTGCATCTGGGAGGAGATCCAAAACCCTGCAGGTAGATGGGACATGGAGGCAATACGAGGACGTATAGAACTGCTGCAAGAGACGCTTTGAGTACATTCTAATATTTATGTAATTTAAAACAACGCAAAATATGTTTTTTAATGAGGAAAGTTGTGAATGGTTTTCACTTCCTATTCGGTTTAGAGTAAAATTAAGTGACTCTTTAACATGCTGGACTAAATATAGAGAAGTGGATAGAACACACACACACACACACACACACACACACACACACACACACACACACACACACACACACACACACAAGCATTCACCGCCCTTTTCTCTTTCTCTTTCCACCAATTAGCATCCAGAAGTGTGTCTCCAGGAGACTTGAAACCATGACAACAGCTGGAAAACCAGTCTCGTCATCGATCTTTAGCCCCATCTGCTGTTGATAAAGAGGAAGTTCACCTCCTTTGGACAAAAACTCATCAGGAACTGATTTAAAAAATGTGAGAATTGAAATGTGAACTGAGTTTTGCATGGACAATAACAAAAATCACTGAGCTATTAATATGAAAAGAAATATTTCATTTGCAAATAGCAGAGTTGTAGCACTTGTCTTTGTACGATGTCAGAGGAAGAGCTGAGGTGTGAAATCACTTCACCTGACGCAGTTTTCCAGTTTCTTCTGCGCTCGGTTTTGGGATTTCAGCAGAAATTAAGGTGCTTCATCTCATGTGTCTTAAAAATTCCACCACCACAAAACTCAGTGATGACTCAGAAAAACAAAACAGCCAGTTTTTCAGTAAGGAACACGAAGGTCTGAGCCTCGCTGGAAGAGATAAACCCACTATCTCCATTTGTGCTTGCGCATGAGCAGAAAGCAGTGCAGCTACAACCCGCATACTGTTTTGGCGAGATGACTGGAAACTACTTGTTCCTGGATTATTTTTTATGTGTCTGTATTCAGTCAGGTTACCAACATTTATTCTAAACGTAAAGAATTAAAAAGCTTCCACAACAGGATAATTCATGTTCCTCTGAACCGGAAATGTGGTTTCTGTTTCCAAATCAACGTGACCCCAGGTGAAATGTAACGACCCCCTTTTAATCTGTGATTAAATACTTGATTTGGAAAGCTGGATTAACCTTCACTCAATGCTGATTACTGTCAGACATGTAGAATTAAGAAATCACCTCAATAAAACCTGTCTGGCAATTTCTGAAGTAGGCTAGAAGGTCTCAAAAGCAACACATCATGCAACATCCTAAAAAATGTGAAAACCAAAGAACAAATAAGAGCATTTAAAACCCTGCAAGACTTAGTTGGATAAGGTCAGAGGTCATGAGTCAGTGATAGGAAAAAGAAAATGGCATCATGGGAGAATTTCAAAGACGACACCTCTACGGACCAAAGAGAATACACAAACCCAGCTTACTTATGATCCCAGTACTTTTATGAAAATATTCTGTGAACGGATGAGACAAAAGTGAAACTTCTCAAAAGGTCTCTTTCCTTACTTGTGAAGTAAAACTAACACAGCATAAAGAATCAGAACATAATATTAGTCAAACACGGAGGTAGTAGTGTGATGGTTTGGTGATGTTTTGATGCTTCAGAACCAGGATGACTTGCTATCATCGATGGAGCCATGAATTCTGTTCTCTACCAGAAAATACACAGTTGGGGAATCAACTGGTTTTAATGACTTAAATGAACAAAACTAAAATTGTTTTACTAGGTATCGAAACAAATAGCATAACACCAAAAGCTACTTATAGACATGAATGCAGATCACCAGTTGTTTCATTCATTAGGAGAGAAGAAACAGCAGATTTCTTTCTGTTTTTATCTAATTATTTTTCCCTCGCTAACCCATAACAGACTAAATGGCACATCCTGTTTGATAGATGAACACGATAAAGAGGCCACACCACTGCCTTGCTGAGGTTGTGCTTGAGTGCAGAGATGTTTAATAATAGTAAATGTGAGTGGATGTCATGTTCACTTTATTGGAATGATGTCACACATTTTCACAGCTGTGGTCTGGTTTTACGTTATGTTGTGAGTTTAGTCAGCAGGAGTTCAAATGTTACAAACAAAAATCAAAACCATTTCATAAAAATTCATCAAGCTGCCCTTCGCAGTTCCCCAGACTTGGCCGTGATGCTACGGGCGTAACCAACATTCTCTGACCTGGCCGTGTAATTTAATCACTGCTGCAGACCGTGCAGATGGAGCATGACACTGCAGCTCTAACGAGACAGTTAGCTTCCGCCACTTTAAATCTGTGCTCCTCATTAGTTTTGATGGAGGCTGCACGTGTTGAGTTCACCAGTCTGCCCCTCCTCCCCTGCACCATCCACTCATCACACACGCAGACTACAACCTCTCAGCTGCCAGCAGAACATTTAAAGACAAAATGGGTCATCAGAGAGAGATTGCTACTTTATTTATTTATTTATTTTTATTTTTTTTAAATCCCATAACCGGATCAAATATTTTTAATTACAGAGATGTTTAAACAGTCATCTGAACAAACACAACTAAAGTAAATTTAAGTGAAATGTATGGGTAGAAAAAAAGTCTTAAAAGATCTGTGTGTGTGTGTGTGTGTGTGTGTGTGTGTGCGCGCGCGTGTGTGTGCGTGTGTGTGTGTGTTTGCGTGTGTGTGTTTAGATTTGTGTGTGTGTAACTACATTTTTGTGTGCATAACTAAAGATATGTGTGTGTGTGTGTGTGTGTGTGTGTGTGCAACTAAAGATTTATTGTGTGTATCTAGATTTGTGTGTGTGTAACTAAAGATCTTTGTGTGTGTAACAAAATATTTGTGTGTGTAACTAGATTTGTGTGTGTACCTAGATTATTGTGTGAGTGTAACTTGATTTGTGCGTGTGTTTGTGTGTCCAGGTCTGTGTGTGTATCTAGATGTGTGTATGTGTAACTAAAGATCTGTGTATGTAACTAGATTTGCATGTATGTGACCAGATTGTGTGTGTGTGTGTGTGTGTGTGTGTGTGTGTGTGTGTGTGTGTGTGTGTGTGTGTGTGTGTGTGTGTGTGTGTGTGTGTAGATCTTGAGGTCCACGTAGCAGGGCTGAGGTGGTCCTCACTCCTCACCCCTGCCACATGGACCAAAGGGACAAACCATCAATCCTGCTCAATGGTCAACTTTCCTCGCGGGGTCACCCATTAGGACAGTGGGAGGGTTAATGAAAATTAGCAGTCTGCACTTTGAATATACTTGCTGATATTGTTTGGTGAGCATATTAATGAGTATGATAAACTATCCCATCTGAATCTGTTTGTAAGAGCAACAAAGTGAAGCCGGAATTTCTTTGCGCCTGCTATTAAAAGCACCTGAGCTCAACAGTGATACTCTCTTTCTGCCATCTTTGTCTGGATTCAGGCATTTGTCCAGATGCGTTAGCTCACTAGGTCACTGTTTTTCACAAAGCCGCCAGATTATGGGAGGAATTAAGAGCTAAAATGGAAAAAAAGAGCTCACTCAGCTGCTTCATATTCTTCTTTTGAATGAAAGTGTTTTGGTTGTTGTAAAGTGATTACACTTTCTTTTTTTTTCCTGCTGCATTTTTGTTTAACAGTTCCTTCCTTAAACAAAGATCCCACAAAGCATCATGTGATGTACATATGTGGAGTGTTATAAGGAAATATGCCTTTTATTTCTGGTTGTGTGGGGGAGGTGGGGTCAACCTGCCTAACCTACATTCTCTTCAGTAGAGCTTCAGGTCTTCAGATTAGCAGCAATCTAATCTCCAGTGGTCATGTTGGCCAGGTTTCATCAAGGCTCTACAGGTGGACTCTGAGCTGAGTCATGTGATCTCAGGCTTCTACAGCTCACTTATTCATTCATTAAAAAATATTTGTGCATATTTTTTTCACCCTCAAAAGCAAAAGATCTAGTTTCTTTGGTCATGATCCAAATTTCAACCACAAAGGCATTGTTGGTAAACAAGTAAATCAAGAACTTCATCTTTAGGCTCGGTTCCTTCTTCACGACAGGCCAGGTGGAGTGGAAGCATCCTTCTTGATCCATCCACTGTCTCTTGTGACTTTTCCATTCGGGAATAATTTACACTTTCCCTGTTGAGAATTGTGGGCTCCGATTTGGAGAAACATAGAAGGTATTTTTGTACAGGAATGTAAAGTTACCTGTACAAATCAGGCACAGCCATCAGTAAAATGTTATTTTTATCAATATTTTTACCAATTGTCTATAGGATGACCATTTTAATAATCTCAGACAAACCTGAGGAAGCTCAGTTTTTGAGCAGGCTCATTTTTTGTTTGCTGCAAGGAACAGTAAAAAAATCAATGAAAAAATTATAATAACAAAAATAACAATTCGTTTAGCTGATTATGTTATATTTCTTTTATGGTTGCTTTATGATTTTCATGATTGCTTAGCACTTTGAGATTGTAAAAGGCAAAGTGTTGACAATTAAAATGTTTTGCTATTATATTCATATTTTCTTCATTATCAGATTGGATTTCTCAAAAACATTTTGTATTCCACTGACTAATTTAATATGAATTGTTCTTTATATTCTGATAAAGATCTGATCAGTGCTATCCAACGTGTTATATGCTATTTTGATGCAAAATATATTGTGATATAGTCCTAAAATACGTATTTAAATAAAAACGTGTTTACGTATTTAAAACTTTATGTCTAGTAGCGCCAGATAATTTGAGTTATTTGGATTTTCACGCATATTTCCAGATTTTATAACTTTTTGGGTATTTTGTCATAATCAATTCATCATAAAGAAATAAAATAGTTTATCAATGTGTTATAAATAAACTTGACATTAACTGACATTTGGGTTGTTGTGTAACAAGAATGTTTGTGTAATAAGAAAGAAAAAATACAATATTACAAATGTTATTGTTGTTATTATTAGCTTATATGCTAGCTTCCAGTGTTACATGTTTGTTGAATATCGTAAAAAGTACCAAAATAAATATTCTTTTAATTTGAAGTTTGATGATAAAACATGGATATTTCCTGGACTTGTCTCAGTGGTGAGGAGGCTGGAGCTGTACCACCGTCGGCCACAGCTCTGCAATCAGCCGACGTCACCATAAATAGCTAGCTAGCCAGTTGTTTTGGGAGAAGAAGAAAAGAGCTGCAAGCGGAAGAAACGCCGGATTTTGGGGTGTATTTGTTTTCTACGTCTAGTTTAGCTTTTCCTATTCTTTTTACACCCTTCAAGTAATGTCCACACCGGCGAGGAGACGGCTTATGAGAGATTTTAAAAGGTACAGAAGCGTTTTAAAAGACACTTGTTCGGCTTGTGTGTGTGTGTGTGTGTGTGTGTGTGTGTGTGTGTGTGTGTGTGTGTGTGTGTGTGTGTGTGTGTGTAGCGGATGAAGCCGCTAGTTAGCTGCGTTAGCTTAGCTTTAGCTCCTGCCTGCCTGACACAAACAGTCGGTGCCAGACTTATCTTGGAATAATAATTATTTACAGTATTAACTATGTAGGGCAGGAAAGTTGGCAGAGAATTGTGTCCGAATATGAAAAACATAATTTTGCTTTATGCAGCAGTACAACTTGTCCTGGAAATACCATCAGTGTTTATTTAAATGGTTGGAGTTGCTTAAATAAGTCTGATTTATTCTGGACATTTGAGGTGAAAGGTTATTAGACAAGTGAGGTTTTTATTATTATTGGTTGTTATTGTCTGGATCTGATTATTGTTCCTCTCGGTTTGCGTGTTAATCATTTTAAAGAGACAAACCTTTTAAACGTTTTGCATCTTGGTTTCGATTTGCTTGTCCTCTACATTTTTTTATTGATCAGGGAATACCCCAAGGTTTTGCTTGAGAGATTCATGCCAGTCATACCTTTTCTTCCATTTCCATCAGACACACAGTCCTAACGAAACAAAGATTATGTTCTTGTAGATCCCTCCATCTGCAGTCTGGTGCCTTGCCCCATATGGCTTCCTACAGTTTGAATTCGCCACACACACACACACACACACACACACACACACACACACACACACACACACACACACACACACACACACACACACACCTGCCAAGACATTCTATTGAGAAAAGCCATTGAAGCAAAGCGGATAAGATGTCACTGTAACTCTATTCCACAGCTCTGGTCCCCAGGTGGTAAACTTTAACACTGAGGCAGGGAAAGAGCAGTTGCTCCTACCTGCAGCAGTCTTGTTTGTCGTCACCGATGGTCGTCACCCAGTCTGGTTGAGTAAACCCACCATTGTGTGAAATTACTCATCCTGAATTGTTTAATCTCTAAGGTAGCTTTGCATAGAAAGCCTCTCTCAGGTGTTTACTAAACAGCTGCTTGATCTGATGGAAACCAGATCACAAGTCTGGGTGTTTTTGCATCTTTTATTTTTTAAAGATAATGTTCAGAAAAGTAAAAGCCAAATCCATCACCTTGTTGTTATTAACACTTTCAGACAATTTAAAAAGACAACGTATAGTTTTTACCATTAATCAATGGAAATATCCATCAAAATGTTGTTAAACATTAATTAAATGGTGCCCAGTTGTTGAAAAATATTGGCGGCTTTGTAGCATAACCATAAAAATCGGGTCTAAAATACACGGGAGCGGGTCTAAGTCTCTGGGTGATTCCATATTAGATGCCGTGTTTCAATCTACAGGAGCCCGTTAGGACAAAGTGCAGTTACTGATTTGTAACAAATGGTTACAAAACATTCACCATTCATAAAGGTTGTTGTTTTACACATTTACCTAGCCGCTCGTTGCCAGTGATGAAAGGGAGTCTGATGAGCTAGCCATTTTACTGGAGGTTGAGCTCCCAGGGATTTTTGACCCTAATGGCTATCCGTTGGTAAGGTCTTACTTGAACACAAAAATACTGCTTATTTGCAATGATTTAGGTATGTACTTCCCCCATGGGGAAAATACACATCATTATTTTAAGGTAGTTTGGATCAAACTGAAAATTGAAATTGAAAATGAAAATGCAACTTTTAACAAGTCGTGTAAGAAAGCTCAAACTAAATGACACTTTTTAGCTTTTCCAGGGGGGATCCCAAGGCTTTCTTGGGCCAGGGAGGTATTTTACAATTTCTCTAGCCAGTTGTGGGTATAGTGGCATATGTCCAGAGACCCCTGGAAGTCCACCTGGAAACATCTTGGTCAGATGTTCAAATCACTTCAGCTGATTTGTTGTTGACTCGTTACTGATCTGGCTGATGCACACAAACATTCAATCTACATCATTTTCAGTAAACTCCATGTTCCAGCAAAACAAACCACACATACATGCATATCATCTGCCATCCCAGTTAATATATCGAGCGGTGCACTCTTCCATCAGCAAAGCTCTCCAGCAGATTACTGTAAAGGAGGTTAATTGCAGTGGGTTTGTCTGCAGCAGGGGACTTGAACATAGATCTGCTCTTTACCAGACCCATAAATCACCTCATATTATAGCTGGAAGTTCTCATAAAACCTGCCTTTATGTTAGCTGTGGGATTGCAGGCATGAAAAGTCTTATGATGAACCCAACACACCCCTCCCACATGCATTTATGTTTATTTATTTTACTCTTCCTGTTTAGGAGCCAAGTGAAAGCTCAGTCAGCTAGAACTTGGTGTTGGTAAATACTTTTAATGGTGACTTCAGAAACCTGTTTAGCTCTGCACATCACAGAGTTTATTTGTCAAACTGCCTTAGAGAGTTTTTAAGTCATTGAGCCGTTTCTAAGACATCTGAGCTGCACACTGACCAAAAGAAACTGAATGGTGGCTTATAAATGACATTCTACTTTAGTAACCTTGAAGTCTATGTTTAGAGAAGCCTTTGTGTTGTTCTAAAATCTGATAATTTCATGATGTTTTGGCATAGTTTGAAACCTGTTTTAAGGTCAATTAGCATTGCTTGAGATGTAACAGAAGGTCTTTTGGCGCGGTAGTTATAACTAATTATCACCCTTTACCTATTCGGCTTCAGGAACAGCATCTGTTCAGAGAAGCAGCATTTAAATCACAGGACTGACGAGCTAACGGCTAGTCCGAGCAGATTGCTGCCATATGATGGCCAAGATTCATGCTTTTTTAAATTTCCAAACTGTTATAACTTTTTTCTCGTAATATATTAAGAAATTTCTTTCAATAGCTGCTGGTGATTATGTGCAGTTGCCTTGTTAATGTGTAATCTACAATTAAGAGAAACATTTGGAACTTTTTGTGCTTAAAGAGCAAGTCACCCCCAAATCAACTTTTTTTGCTAATAAACTATATAAATGAGTGTCTAATTGTGCTGTAGACACATGTATTCAATAATTTGGCACTTCAGTGCATCTTAGTTAAAATTTAAATATTCTACATAAAACTGTCAGTGTTGTGCTGTCGTCAGGGAAAAATTCTGCACTGTATTTGAATTTAGATCTGCTACCGCTATTGGCTGAGGTATGCTATGATGTCAGCTGATACATTATGATGTCACAATGTCGTTGTGAGCCTGTGTGTGTGTATTTGTTAGCGGCTCCGCCCTCTCGGTCTGCCAAGCAACAACATTTGTTGCATTTTTCAAACATGAAGTGAGAGTGAAGTAAGTTTCTTGTAGGGGGTGACTTGCTCTTTAAATGACCCTTTACGGGGGTTAATGAAAGGGCACCAAGTCCCCCATGCCTAGAATATTCCACTTGCAACTTCAGAGTTGCTGGTGTGGTCTGTTGAACTTAGGAAAAATTTAGCTGACATACCTGGCGCTGCAGTCTGCCTCCAGTACGTTTTAGATCATGAACACAGCAGACGTAGACACCAAGAAAGGCTGGGGAGACATTTCAGCTGTTAGATTAAAGTGTTAAAAAGACAAACGCACAGCGAGGGGATAGGTTTGGCTTTTGGATCTACAAACACTAGGACACTAGGGGGTGCTAAAAGCAAGCCAAAACTGCCTGGTCTCCCTTTAATGGCACAAAATGATAGAAACTACAATCATCGTTTAAGTGTGTGCTGCACACATTAATAGAGAATGAGCTTCCAGAGTTATGAGGTCAAATAAATAGCATGTGTTGAGGTAACAATCAATTACATTTGAGAATAAAACAGCAGGCAGATCTACAGCTCCTGCAAGGTTTAAATACTGACGGGGTAAAAAAATGTTTTCTTTGTGGGAACCAAAGTTTCGTCCAAAGAAGATTTTGAATTTCATCCAGAAGGTCATGACCTTGTTAAAATGACATCCCTGGTGCATGGTTTCGATGCAGAAGCATCTCTAATGAAAACCTCTTGCTAAGTAGCATGTGACGGCCAGAAGGACAGTGTGCAGCTGCTCCCGTAAGCCTGGCTTTCTGCTTGTCATGTTGCTACAGCAGTTCGTGTTTTGACTGATAATCATCCTGCAGCTAAGGTGCCAATTGATCTCTCATTCATCTCCCTCCCTCTCATTCTTGTGCATCGTTACTTTATCTGCCTTTTTCACTCTTTTTTTACCCCTCCTTCTCCATTGTCCATTGCCCTTTTGTCTTCCTCTGACATTTATTTTTTTCCTATTGTTACTCAGGCTTCAAGAAGATCCCCCTACCGGTGTGAGCGGTGCCCCATCTGAGAACAACATCATGCTTTGGAACGCTGTTATTTTTGGGTGAGTCATGTTCTAAATCCAACTCCACCCTGTTGTTGGTGCACTGCCTCGGTGATGTACAGATCCTGCAGCCTACTCATGCCCTTGCATTCCCACCTGTTTCCTTTAATTAAAAAGAACTGGATTAAAGCTCTGATTGTGTCATAAAGCATGCAGCATCATGAGAGAAAACTGTCTGGTTTTTAAATTGATGTTATTCCTCTATGATGCATTATTAAAGGAGAATGAGTGCTGCAAAGAATGCACCTTTTGAAAGAATGCAAGATTTTAAAGCATATGAGAGACATCTGTGTAAACGTAGACTTAATATTAGATTACCCAATTCAAAGAAAGAGCTGTTTTAATAACAACCAACAAAAACAGCTGTGTGTGTGTGTGTGTGTGTGTGTGTGTGTGTGTGTGTGTGTGTGTACTTGTCTTTATGGGTTTGTGTGGACCAACCCCTGACGTGAGACCAACATTGTGTGGACATTCACCATTGTGTGGACATTTACCCGGTCCACACAACCAAAATCCTAGAGTAAGCTTCCGTTGTCCCACCTAGAGTTAAACATAATTTTTGCACCATTCTGGCTATAGTGGAAGTCAGGGTCCACACAAACAACTCAGAAAACGTAGTCCACACAAACCCATAAAAACACGTGTGTGTGTGTGTGTGTGGAGCTGAAGCACCACTTCTAATGCTAGCATAAGTCAAAGGAAAGCTCAGTATGTGGATTAGCACAGATTAGTGGAATCTGGTAATCAACCTTTCCTCTTTTTCTTCTGCAGGCCCGTGGGAACGCCATTCGAAGACGGTAAGTTTTACATTTTTACCAAATTCAAAATATTTAGGCTCATTTTACCGGCTCTGAATGTGACTTAATTTGTGCAGGAGATGCATTAGTAACAGTGGCCTGAAACAAAGAAACACACTTTTTAAATTAATATTTGGAGAAAAGGATGGTGCATGTTAATGTTTATTGCAAGGTCCAGTTTTTTATTTTGAAAGTCTTTTTTATGCAACGACAAATGTTAGAACCAAACTGTAACTTTTAGTGATTTTTTTTAACAATGATGTGGCAGCTTTAAAAAGAAGCTAAAGCTGAAGGATGCATTCGTTTAATGCACAATGTGTAAATCAGGGGTAGACGACTATCTTCCCCGACGGCCGGTATCCAGCTTGTGTTATTGTCTCCCTGCTTCAACACACCTGACTTTAATCAGCATGTGATTAACAGGCTTCTGCAGAGCTTGATGAGCTGCTGAAGTGAATCAAGTGTAGGAGCAGGGAAATGACAAAAACAGGCCGTATACCGACCTTCGGAGAAGGGAGTTGTCTACCCCTGGTGTAAACGGTCAGTAGCTCCTTCACAGGACACAGGCGAATCAAGTAAAAATTCTCATTCCTGCTTTTTAGTTAGAATTTTCCTTTAAAATTTTCTCAAAAAGATTAAATTATATTTAAAGCTTCCAGGATTTACAAAGTATAGCATCTGCTACTAGTGGACAAAAGCCCTTCTCTGCACGCTTGAACAAGGTTAACAAAAAGGACAAGGACAGTTTTATTAAGCTCTCATTAAACGACATCATTTTTTATGAACTAAGGGCAAATAAACCCCAAAGGAACAAAGCCTTTAACATAATAACATCATGGAACATGAATTATAATTGTGTTTTTTTTTTTTTTAGTCTGAATACCCGCTCAAGTTAAAACTGCTACTCTGGCATTGATTTTAGTGCCTATTAAAACAATCAAACACAACATTAAAACACAATGGACAGCAATTCTTTATTTCTGTTCATTTATTAAGGTTTCTCTAAAAATGTATGAAACAACTAGCCTGGAAAGTCGTCCTATAAATGTGAATATATAGTCTTGGGCATGACATGGACAGAGCTTGGTCCTGGCTGTGGGGTAGAATCCACATCTGCTTAAATCAGACGCACTGTGCTGGCAAATCAGCATAATGCTGCTGCCTCTGTGGGTCTTATGTAAGCATCGTGGCAGCATGGCAAGGTGGGAATTTTGTGACACTTGTGCACAAAATACAAAATTCCCTTGTGAATCGATATTACGCCTTGGTGCAACACAGGGTGGTGTCATGATCACGTGTAGAACGTCTTCTGAGCCCTGACCGACAACGGTATTGAAAATTAAACTAAACACGAGCAAAAGTTTAGCTTTTTTAAATGGAATCAGCTGAGATGGTAAACTGGAGCAATGTAGAGCTTCTCTCTGATAGAGCTGGAGCTCAGATCACCGGACACTTTTTGGGAGCAGCTCGTCACAAAAAAGAAAAAAAAAACTTGCGGAGCGCAGCTTCTATCGCAACAAAAAGCTAGTTATGTTCAAGCTAAAAGGAAGGCTAATATCACCCCCATACCCCCTTTTTACCGCCATAACGTAATTTTTTTTTAAAAGGGGCACTATTGCACCACATTACCGCCACAGCCTGACCACTTATAAAGAACCTAAGGCTCCCTGATGCCGACTCAGCTTTGTGGCATATCTGCAACATTGTCTTTATAAAAGAGGCTTACGGTTGTCGTTCGAACTGTTTCCCTTTAGCCAAGCCAGTGGTAGACCTGCTGAGGCTACGATGGAGCGAGGCTAGACCAACCTGCTGAACAAAATTTTTGGCCACTGCTATGATTGGTCTTGATTTCTAGGTTAATAAAACAACGCATTCTCAAGAAAATTTCCAAAGAAAACACAATTTCAAGAGAAACCCCTTTTAATTACTATTTATTTGCAGCATAGTAAAGATAATTTATGCATACATGCCTAAAGCCTGGTTTATGCTCCTCCATCAGCTCTGCAAGGGACAGACACGCACGGATTGACGGAGACATTTTGCTCTCATACTTCTCCGTCTCCTGGGGAGGGTTGCAAAGCAATTCCCCGGCAGGACAACAGAGGGCGTAGCACTGTTCTGTGGTATCCTGTCATGTATCCGGTCCAAGATAGTGTGTTTATATTGTGTTTTTTGTATATAAGAGACTTTTTAACACAGACAAACTTGTCTCATTCTCCTCAATCTCTTCATGCGCTCGCCACCTCTGAATCCAATTTTCCTGTCATTTCCGTCCACAAATAAAACGCTTGCTGCACATCTTTTCACTCCTCCAGTCACGGGGAATTAAACGTTCATATTTTAGAGTTTTTTCGCGAGGTATTCTTCAAGCTTCTCCGTGTGTGCCGCTAGTTATTCTCGGCCCTTCTTATATTTTTGAGGGCGCAATGGCAGCGGTATAGACGACAGCAGTGCCCTGACCAATCACACGCTTGCATTCTCCATCTCGTTCGACGGATGTTTAAAAAAAGTGGGCTCAACTCCGTACGTACCTGCGTGCCTGCCGGGGCCCTACGCAAGGACGGATAATTGCGTTGCGTGTCTCCGCACTGACGCAGACGGAGAAGCATGAATCCGCCTTAAGGCCTTTGTTCTGATTCTGGGTGTTAAAAAAAATCGTCTCTGTAAAGTTGAGTTAGACTTTTTCTCTATAGTTGGAAGCTTTTTCTCTCTCTCTCTCTCTCTCACACACACACACACACACACACACACACACACACACACACACACACACACACACACACACACACACTTTCACACTTCCTTGGCTTTTAATTAGCTGTCAGGTGTGCTGCTGACCCAGGTTGTTTTCTCTCATCAGTCACCCCCCTCCCATGTTCCTGTCTGAGCTTGCAGAATCTAAATACCTGCTTCAGGGAGGGATGAGCTGTTTTTAGTGGAGCTGCTGATATTTATAGTGACATAATTGTTTCTTTCTCTTTATTTAGCCTCTTTTGTCTTTCACATGCTCTAACAATGTTGGTTTGCACCCCCTGACCCATCTCTGTAGGAACATTTAAGCTGCTGATAGAGTTTTCAGAGGAGTACCCAAACAAGCCCCCCACGGTTCGGTTTGTTTCCAGAATGTTTCACCCAAATGGTAAGTGGTGTTTGAGTCCCAACATGAACTTGTATCTTCCAGAGCTCTGATGGAGCACACATCCCTGGATGAGGTTCATACTATTATTTTGAAATTAGCCAGAAATATTAAGACCCTTTTCTTATAAAGTACCATTATACTGGCTTTAGATGGGTGAAATGACCATATTTGGAAAAGTTTAAAGTTGAAATCCCACATAAGATCAGGTTGAAAGTTAGTGTGCAAAGTGGAGGAGATGTCTTCTTAATCTGAAGTGAAATTAATCCATGGAATCGGGGGATGGAGGGAATCAGTTGTAGAGAAATTTGCTTTAAAGTAGATTATTTATGAGGCTTTCATTAAGAAAACACCAGATTAATGTGTCATATCCAGATTGTCTGTTGTTCTTATCAACTACAAAGGTAGTTTAAAATGTTCTAACAATTTTTTATTTAATTTAAATAATCCATATTAACATTCAGTGTCTCATGGAGGAGATATTTTCATGTTATTCATTTTTATTAAAAACGAAATATTTTTAAATACATACATTTCTCTTGAGACTAAATAAACAAGAACAGTAAGTATTTTACTTTGATAGCATCTCATAATCAACTTAGAAGGATCAGTCATAAACCAGAGTAGCGCCTGCCAATGACATCACACTACGGCAACGCCACTTGGACAAACTACATTGCCAATTAAATGGCTCTGAAAGCCATATGTGAATTGTCACATGTATTTCTACAAGTAATCCTCCTGTCTGTTTGTGTAAGGGTTGCATTAATGTGTTTTTATTGTTCAATCACCTAAAATAACTCTCCGTTTCTTAAGAATCTGCTAAAACCTATTTTCCCATGTGAGTAAATAAATTTGAGCTTATAGACAATTTTATTTACTTATTGAGTGCAGTCTGAGATTAATTGGACCAAATGTCAAAGTTAATGATTTATTTCCATTTGTTGTTTTCTTTATGCATTAAACCACATTATTTTCCTTTAAAAAAAGCCATCTGTACTTCCATTTGTACAAACACTGAATGGCTTTAGTTGGCTTGGAGAGTACAGATGCTTTTTTTTTTTAATTCTCTCCCTCCCTCCTCATCCCAAGGCTCTTTGTCCCGTCTTTGTGTGCATGGCGCTTTCTGCATTTTTTCTGGAAACTGGAAATTATTAAAAATGGATCTGGTCATTTGATCTCAACGCGATTGACAAAAAATTTTTCAACGATGAGAACGGGAGACGGGGCTCCCGGATGCCCCTCTGGGACAGACCCAGCTGGGTATATCATGGACTCCTGGAAACATTGGAACCTGATATGCCTCTCTCAACTGTCTGTAGAGGATTCTGAAGATGTCTGTATATTCGTCGTTTTGGTGTCAGGATTCCTGCAGTTTGGCCTGAACGGTTACCTGGCATACTAGAAAATTAACAAGCTTTCGAGGAATATTGGCTCAATCCCGGAGCTCAGGGATGGAATGCATCGAGTTGTGAACGCACAAACTCTTGTCGAGATGAGTCGTAAGCTTGGAACTTTGGCTGAGATTCAGGCTCTGGCACAGAAGGTGGATCCCATCAAGGAGAGAGTTGATGGATCGCACGGATTGGGATAGATTAATTACGCCATTATTGGATCTAGAGGGGTTGAAGATCAACAGAACTCTTAAGGCAGAGAGGAAATTATCTCTGTCTGTACCCAAAACAATTCCTATCTGAATCTGGTGCCCTTGGAGCCTGTGAGGCTGAAGTGAAAACTCCCCCCTCAGAAGAAATGTGGAATGCTGCCGTCGCTATGGAAACTCTCTCCCCCTATCCCAGCCTGGGCGGGACTGTGACCGGTGAAGGCCGTGGAACCGTATCTAGGACTCAATGTGCCCTCTAACCCATTATCTCCCTCCCCTGTCCAAATGGAGGTGATGAGCGCTGCTCCATGCGGCTGCACGCACTGAAGTGAGGAGAGTCCCAACCCCACCTCCCCACCTAGTGGGCACTTATGCACACAGACTTCAGACTTTACACAACATATCTGTCTGAGGTGTTTTTTTTTTTTTTTTGCATAGCAAAGCTACCCTCTCTGTGGAGGGTAACTCTGAACTGCCTTTTTTTCCCTCCCCCTGACTCTATCCTCATATAAACCCTCTTGATCTATTACGGTAGTGCGACTCGGGTTGCGAATTACCACAGTCACCAATTCTTGTCATGTGTCTATGTAAGTATGTGTGATCTCAGAATTGTGTGTACTGAAACTCTTAATTTCCCCCTGGGATTAATAAAATATTTTTGAATTGAATTGAATGAGCCACCGTGTCAGATCAAAAGTAGCTCCTTGTTTTTGTTGCCAGTCTTATCAACACTAAAGCCTCCCAAACATCGTCATACTGCCTATAAATAACCACTGTAATGATAATTGTTTAGAGTAGGATAGACTTTATTGACGTACTTGGAGAAAAGCAAGATGAAAAATAGGATTACACATAAACACACACTGCAAACTATTATTGTAACCTTCAACCACTAAAAACAATAAATGTAAAGAAAACTTTTGCTATGCAGCATAAGGAACACAGACATACTAATGTACATCCAGCACTGCACACAAACTGAATATTGCATTGGTGTTATTGTGTAACAGGATAATGCCAGTACCAGTTAAACTGAGGAGTCATACACTCTTACTGCAGAGGGGATGAATTTCTAAATACAACTCTAAATTAAACTCTAAGAACCACATTTGCATTTTTATTTTATATTCTAAAAGGAAAAAACAAGTAGTGGTTAAAATATCTGAACCTGTTTCAGTTTGCTCATCAATTATGTCGCGGGCTTTTTTCTTGGTCCAAGTTCACTTCACAAGTTAAAGCTGGCGGTGCATTTAAGATGAAATGTATTTATTTTTAATTTTATTCTTGATGAGTGCCATTGTGCCATTTTAGACCCTGTACACACACACACAGCCGTTTATTCCACAAAAACCAAGATATTCTTTTACCATTTGGCCCATCATCCACATGAAAGTGAAGATAAACGGCACCAAAAACATTTTTACTACCTTATATGCTGCTCTATCAAGAAGACCACAGGCAAATGACGATGTTAAGGATTGTGTTTGTCCACCACCTTGTTGTTCCACGTCCAAGCAATGTTTTTCAGTAAAGGTTTTGACTATTTAGGGAACTTCTGCCACCTACAGGTTTGGCATGAATGTGCTTCACAATACACTGGATTTTTCTGCTGAAAACAAAGTGGTTTGTACCCTAGTACTTCCTTATATGGGCGGATATTCGGTTTTACAAATATCCAGCTATGTGTGCACATGGCCTGGGCCAAAGATGGTACTAAGGTTGTCCAATTGGGCAAATCCATCAGCAATGGGTGAAACTCCTCACCATTTTTTTGCAATGTTTTTATGACTATAAATAAATGCAAAGTAGGGCTGGGCGATGTGGCCTAAAATCAGTATCACAATATATTGAGAAGTTCACCTCTACAGTAAATGGACGATAACTACATAGGGCTGTCACATGCATACATTGAGTCATGTTGTCGTGTGACTCTAGGAGGTACAGCTTCTTCTCACTCCATAAAAACACCTTCTGCCCCTCTGCTGTATGCCCCAGTCACCCACATTCCTACACTTACGATTGTTTTCTGGTAATGTTTCTTTTCTGTTTATTTGACGTATCCTAATGTAAATACTGCCTGACCGGAGTTTGACTTGAATGTATGTTTGCACCTTTCCACCGAAACAAATTCCTAGTAGATGATGAGCCTCTCACCTACATGGCAATAAATCTGATACTGATTCTTAAAGTGACATGACCATCGCCAACCTACACACCTATTTTTTTTTAATCAAATTTATTGACATGAGGAAAATATTAGTCAGAAATTTCGATAATACATTTTCAATATATTGCCCAGCCCCAGTGCAAAGCTGCCTTCAGTCTTACTAAATGTTGTAGAACGTTGTGACTTTTCTGACTGAAGCTTTGGTTTTTTTTTCCTCGGCTCTACCAGTTTACGCTGATGGCAGTATATGTTTAGACATTCTCCAAAATCGCTGGAGCCCTACTTATGATGTGTCATCCATACTCACTTCTATCCAGGTTTGTCACCTTTTCTCCTTTTTTCTTTTGGTTCTTCCCACCAGATCGTCCTCATTGCAAAGCTAAAAGAATTTACATTTTGTTCTTGCTAACGTCCTTCTTTGTGTGTCTGCAGTCATTGTTGGATGAGCCCAACCCCAACAGCCCGGCGAACAGTCAGGCTGCGCAGCTCTACCAGGAAAACAAGCGGGAGTACGAAAAGAGGGTGACGGCCATCGTGGAGCAGAGCTGGGTGGACAGCTGAGCTTCTATCACAAATATATATATATATAATATAAATATATCTTACTATCCATCACGCCTTTTTCATCATCCCTTTTATTCGATGTCTTTTTTTTTTTTTTTTTACCTCGTAAAGATAAAACAGCAACTATATCAAAACTCAAGTGCCACCTTAAAAAGAAAAACCAAACCTAAACAGACGTCAACTTGCTTGCCAACACATTAAGGAAATTTGGGAGGGGGGGTAATTCAAGCTTGTATTTTTGTTCTTTTATTGACTTTTTATTGCATGGTGTGATAAGTTATTGCTAACAGTTTGTAATATATCTGAATCGTGTCTGTTTAAAGCTTGAGTTTTTAGTTAGACGTCTGCATTTCCTTTAACTTCCCGCTCAAGTGCTCACAATGGCGCTGGTTTGGAAAAGGACGTGTTAAAAACCTAATCAAGGTGTTTTTTTTTTTTTAAGCTTCATAGCTTCGCTGTTCCTGTTGACATCCACATATATAGCTGATAAACCGTTGCTGGCTTGTTTCCGGTTTATGTGTGTTTATTTTTAGGATACTGTAGGTTTGGACTTGCGCGTGGTCAGACTGGAGCAGCACAGATGGATTATCCTGCTGGAGTTGGAGCATTTAAGAGGGTTGTGGATAATGTTACGGATCGCTATAAGATGAATCCAGCAGCCAAAAACTGGTTTAAACTTCATGTTCTCTTGTTAAAGACGTTTCTCAGCTGTGTAAGTAATACTGGCTTCATCGTGGTTCTGGAATCTTTTAGATTTCCATCTAGAAGTTCTGGATGTAGAACACTTCTGGGTCGTGTCTTGCTCTGCTCATCTTCTGTAAAACAATGAATCTGGTTTTTATCGAAGCTAAAAGAAAATTTATATTTGAAAATGAGTAGAACTTTTCACTCAATCACTGTTTTCTCACATACTTCCTTTCCAGTTCTTTGAAGCCTGTGAAATTTGAGCTTCTGTGCTTTTGGTCCATTTTTAACAAGGGGAAGAAAAAAAAACCCAATGTCATTACATTTTATTTTAGTTCTGTTTCTTCAACAGAAATATGCTCAAATATTGCTATTGCATGCAGTTGAATTCAAGATATCATGTTTCCCTGAAGGCTCGGGTTGCTATTCTGCTTGTATTGGTCTCATTTTCTTCTAGCTTGCTCTGAAAAGCTTCGACATGAGAATAAAGTCCTGACTTAACCCTGCCCAATAATCAGTCATAAGTCATTTTCTTTCTTATACAAGTAAAGGTCATATTGTGGCTTGTGACGTCTCTCACCTTATAAACAAGGGAAATGTGATGAAATTTTGAATCAAACAAATGTATACTTAAAGTAATAAGCTGTATAAACATAATAAACACATTTTTCAGACTTTGACAAATGTCTTTTTTTTTTGTATATTTCTGCTTTAGTGTTTCCTTACATCAGCCACAGCTGATTTGCAATGCCTGTTCTGTTTTTTTTTTTAAAGCATTTCACCAAATTTAAATGACAAATTTAAGTGTAATCTGAGTGCATTTAACTAATCCCAGCCTGTGATGTACCTGAAGAACATGAAGCTATGGAAAAAAACAAGTTCCATTTTATTTTTGCTTAACACCTGAAACAAAGACTTTTCACAATGATACAGATGTAAAATCAGATGGCAAAATAAAAGCTTAAAAATTATCAAAAATACATTTTTAAAATCTTAAAACAGTCGAGTTGGATGAAAAAGGAAAGAGTCATCAGTACAGGTCCAATAGGACTGCCGGTCAACGACCCTGTGATGGAAGATGACAACAAATTAAACCGGTTCTGTTTGTGTGTTAACGTGTGTGTCTGTGTGTCTAGGAACATACCTGCTGCTTTTTCATAATTTCATCTCTCGTCTTGAAAATTGGTGCGTTCTCCACCACGATGCCCTCAGCCATTTCCTGTACTTTTTCCAGAAGCTCCTTGCTGTACCTGAAAGAAGCAAACAAATGAGATTCTCAAACTCGTGTGAACTCATTGTAAGCCCAGAATGTATAGAAATGTGAATCAATCACCACAATGAGTTTTTAACAATGTACAACAGTAACTGCGAGTGAACTGTAAGTAAAATGATTCTAAAGCATTTCCTGAAGATGCTGAGCAGTGGGAAACCATAAAAAAACAAGTTAAAAATTGATGGCAGCACTTAAAATATGGATTATTCAAGCGCACAATAACACCACGATATCACCTTAGTTCAGTTTCACCAACAATCACATTATTTTGATGGGTTCAGTTTTAATAACAAGAATGTTAAAATCATTCCATAAAGTGTCAGGAACGCACTGGAGTTTGTATTGTGCCATCTCAACGAGGACAGGCATTTTTCTTCATTGTTATGAAATTAATTGCTAACTAATGAGATCCTTATGTAATTTGATTAAACTAAGTAGTTTTTAGTGTTCCGTACTCGATTGGAAAGCTGTGAAGTGGCGAAACTGAAGTGTAATCGGTTTGTGAAACACTAAAATGTGTTTAACGATTAGCGACGTCCTTGCTAGCACGTTGTTTACGTACCGACATCCCATGAATACGTTGTTGGCCCAAACCATGGACAGAGACAGGAGGAGGTCCCGCTGCTCCTCGTTAAAGTCGTTAATATTCCGGAGGATAAACTCTCTCCTGGCCTCCCAGTGTTTTTCATTTTCACAATAATCCCGAAAAGTTTCAACCTGATCGGCCAAAGCTCTGTTTTGTTGAATAAAATCTACTACGTCCAGCGTAGACATATTTTCTCAGTAATGAAGGAAGTCAACTAAACCATTTCCGGTTTCCGTGAAGCGCTTCCGGAATGTTTTTTTTCGTAGCTCCCCCAGGTTGTAGCAGTGCGAAATGGCAACTGCTGATCACATTTGGACTAAGACTTGCCAGCCAGTTTTTTTATACTTTATTTATTCTATTTGCATTACTAACACAAATATTTTAAACAATCCATCTTTCTTTTTTGCACTAAGTAATCTCATAATGTTGTGATTTCTTGCATATATGGCAATTAAAAGCCTTCTTCCTAAAAAAAACCCTTTTCAATAAGTAATATTTTATAAGAAACTGCACATCACATATTTTCCTAAATGTTGTGAAAATTTCAAATACATTGTTGCATTTAAGAACCTGATGCTCATTTGGTTACCATACAGTAAATGAAGTAAAATAGCTGCAAAAACATTTAGAACCGGTGTTTAAAACATCTTGCTATGCATCATATTATTTTTTTACATTCTTTGACTAAAACATTTTCATTTTATTATGCATGCATCTTTAAGAGAAATGAAATATAACTTGAGTGGTATTTATCTGTAGAAAGACTGATTAAGTCATAGAGAAGACCAAGATTACTTCAAATTTCTGATTTAAAAGTGTTTTTATACATTACTGACTGCTTTTACACCCACTACTTTTGCATTTTGATGAGTTTTTGGGTTCTTAACTCAGTCAGCTTGTCTTTTTCATTTCTTTAAGACTAAAGCCAAGAAAGACAAGAGGACTATAAAGCACACACAGTCTGACCTCCTCTCAAATTCCTCTTAAAAAATCCACCAGCAGCACTTCAGGGTGCAGCATACATTGGGTGGCTTCCAAGTCATACACTGCTTTATACTAACCCATTAAGTTTATGGCCTCCTCTCTCCCTCTGAAATATACACTGATGCTGAAATAATACACTCGGATCCAGCTGGCTCTGGCAGAAGGCCGTTTTGGATGAGTCACATAATGAATGCTTACTCAGGAGAAAACTGGGAAATAGAAAACAGGTAGCTCTTTCGGCATCAGTCCCCCGGGAATGGATGAACCCTCTCTAGTGGTGTGACGAGGAGCAAAATTAAAATAAAAAGTTGTTTGATTTTTATTAACTCAGAAAACACAAGCACAGACTCAACCTTCAAACCCTGTTTTTAGGGAGATTGTTCTCTAGGATCGTTCCAGTTTTTCAGCGACATTTTCTTACTTCTTGACTTTTTAAATGGGCTAAATCTTGTTTTTATGGGTCAGTGATTTTATTTGACTCATCTGATACAAACTTTTGCTGGTGTGGATGAATGCAGCCATGTTTGCATTTTTTCTGGAAAGAATACTCATGAAAATCAAGTAAATCTTGTTATAATTAACAGCATATTGTGTTGGATGATGCTTACTGTCTGTTCTTGTTTGTAAATTATGTATCCACTAAGTTTTATTGAATGTTTATATAGCAGCATAACAAAAACTTTTTTTCTAATAAATGTGCTTAATTTTAGAACAGAAATACTCAACGTGTTTTAGTTGATATAAACACAATAAATAAGAGTGTCATGTGCTGGGGTGAGTACTCCTCTCATTTTTCCATCTTCGAGTTGTGTGTTTCAGGAGAGGGAGGCTCCAGCTGCAGCTGATTTGCAATCAGCGGGTCTGGCTACAAAAGGAGGATGGAGAACACTCCTCGACGCTGGATGATTACTACAGCTTGGTAGTTTCCTGCCCTCTTGCAATTCTCAGATTTTGTGCTCTAGTGTTTTCTGTGAATTTTTGTGAACCTTTGGATCTTTTCCCTGTGCTTACCCGTTACCAGGTTTTGGAACGTTTTTGGTTTTCTGCGACTCCTCAGGATTACTCACCTGTCTACCATAGGATTTCCGGACGCAGCTCTCACCGTTCTCCATTCCTCGAGGCTGGCCCCTCTCTCCTGCTCTCCTGTGCTCCTCTCGCCCCCTCTCCTGCACACCCCACTTGGATTCACCCCGGTACCCAACCTACCCTCCCTCATTCCTACGCTCCCCTACTCCCAGTAAGTCCATTCTCTGCACCCACCAAGTTTAGACTTGCCTTCCTGGACTCACCTGTATCTGCTCTCCCCTTCTCAGACGCTGCGCTCCCGTTCTCGATCTCCACTGGGCTTTTCCAGTGCACCTTCAGTTCCCATTTTAAAATAAAGATTCATTTTTTTTTTACCATAAGATCTGTGAGTGTGTGATTCTGCATGTCTTGGGTTAAACCCATTCCCCAAACCATGTCAAAGAGAAATGACAACTTTTGTTGTCTTTTCTGACACATACAGTATTGCTGTCTTCAGATAATCATTCATCCATCAAGACGAATATTCATCAACCATCCATCCAACCATTTATCCATCTATGCATCCATCCATCCATCCATCCATCCAACCAACCAACTATCCATACATACATACAAAAAATCCATCCATCCAAATATTAAACCATTTATCCATCCAGACAAATATCCACACATCCATCAACCAACCATCCATCCATCTATCTATGAAATTCATCCAAACAAACATATCCATCTAGCCAGCCAGCCATACAAATATCCATCAACCATCCAACCAACAATCATCCATCCATTCCCTCTAAGTTCTGCCTCTGTCCTGAGGTCTCTACTCAGTAGGACCTAACCAGAAAACCTCATGATCTCCTTTATTCATCCAGACAAATATCCATCAACCATCAAACCAACCATCATCCATCCACCTAAATATTCATCAACCAACCAACTATTCATCCATCCACCGACCATCTATACATCCATGCATCCATCGTCCATCCATCCATTGCCTTTAAGTTCCGCCTCTGCCCTGTGGTCTCTACTTGGCAGGACCTAAGCAGAAAACCTCATCATCTTCTTTACCATGAAAGACTTGGACATGATCTCCTTCACTAGATGAAGCCCTGATCCATTCACCCATCTGTTGTAAAATAGACCAAACACCAAGATTCTTGAACTCCCCCAATTGTGACAACGATTCACTCTCAACCAGATGGGAGAACTTAACCTTTTCCCTGTCAAGAACCAAGGTCTCAGGTTGGGAAAGCTTGCCCGCATCCTGTTTGCTGAACCTATAACCAGTACAAAATATCTTCAAGTTCATTCAGCAAAATTAGCATCCCAATAATCAGTAATGAATATCAGTAGAATGTGTTGAAATAGTTTCTTTATATAGTTATTTATGTGCTGTCGTTTGGCCCATAGTTGCTATTGTACCCATGTGGGATTTCAGCATTAAAATGAGGCTTGTCTTTAATTAATCTGGAGTTGTGCGATGCTTTGCATGAATCTTTCTATGATCCAAGCCAATTAAATCTTGAGGGTTCATCGTCATGCTGGTTTCTGTTCTGTTTTTGTCCATTATGGCTGTTGTGTTGGGTTTTATTGTATGTATTAACTGTTTATAACATATTTGCCTTCCTAAGGGCTATTGTTGACTCATTATTTTCTAATACTGACCTCCTCCAACCAAAACCCCCACCCATGTGATGCATCTAGCAGATTAAACCAACCACAATTACCATTTGACCCAGATCTGCATAGATATGCTTCCAAATAAACAACGAGTGCATCCCACCAGCCAGGAAATTGCATTAGAGCACATTAAAAGGACCACAGAGACGGTAGCAGGCTGTTTCCTCGTGGGACTTCAGTTACCTGCATTATGTGAAAAAAAAGGGGGGGGGGGGGGCAGAGGGGAGAGAGAAAAAAGTGGGATGCTGCTGTTTCATTTGAATGCTTGCCAAAGAAATCCCTCCTCTGCGTCCTTCACCGCCTCATTTCACTTTGAGCAAAACAGCATCACACACAGTTTTGCTCCTGCTCTCTTCATCTCTCCGCCGACACTTGATACAGCTAAAATGAGCAGAAATGAATCGTACACCTGACATTTCTGTGTGTGGATGCGCCTGTAGGTCTGTGTCTTTGAAGAAAGTGGAACTCCTCTATTTTCTCTTTGGAACGACCTTAATTCCAGCGTCCCTCTGTGTTCTGTCCTGTCCAGTGTGGCATCACAGGCTGAGCCAGCATGGGTCACAGCAGTTGGAACTGTCTGAAAGAAATAAGGTATGAAGATAAATTAGTTTGGTAAAATGCCTAAAATGTAATATAATGCCTTCTAGAGTTCTGCCTCTCAAGATGCTTTACAGTATAATCAGTCATCCACCTATGCACACACACATTCACACCCTGTTGGGGACGAGCTACATTGCTGCCACAGGTGGCCTGGGGTGCAATGACAGAGACGAGGCTGCAAGTGACTGTCTGGCCAGCCTCTGTTTGGAGGAATAGTTTTCATGACCAAAATGACTGAGAAGCTAATGGCTGCTTTGACTGAATCTAAGACCAAAAGTGTTTTGCCGCCATTTGAAAAAAATTCAAATCTTTGACATTTCACAGTGGGTCGTGCAAATTATTTTTCATTATAAAGGTCGAGTTCTGCAGGATTCCCCCTCAATGTCTGATGGAATTCAAAAGTAATGCAAAGTTGGCAGGTGGGTGGATCTCTGAGTTCGTGCGAACAGCACTAAAATTTGAGATAAAAATAATTTGGAAATATCTACGAAATGATTTGTAAGTCCCGCACAACAAATTCAAGATGTTGTTGGATCCCTAAAACTCAACTAATCAAATAAATACAAACATTTTAAACAAGTGTGTCTTTTTCTTTACTTGTCATGTTTGCATTTGAATTGTTGGTGTGTTGTCATTATTTTGGTCAAGCCACTCTTGAAAATGACAATAACCAATAATCAATCAATCAATCAATCAATCAATCAATCAATCAATCAATCAATCAATCAATCAACCAACCTACCTACCTACCTACCTATCATCTATCTATCTATCTATCTATCTATCTATCTATCTATCTATCTATCTATCTATCTATCTATCATCTATCTATCTATCTATCTATCTATCTATCTATCTATCTATCTATCTATCTATCTATCTATCTATCTATCTATCTATCTATCTATCTATCTATCTATCTATCTATCTATCTATCTATCTATCTATCTATCTATCTATCTATCTATCTATCTATCTATCTATCTATCTATCTATCTATCTATCATCAAAAACTGAAATAGCAAGTGTGATGTTCTGACCACAGAGGGTGATGGGGGGTCTGAATGGCATTAGTCATTTTAGCACAAACTGGCTCAAGAAAATGATTTAAAAATAAGAAAAAGCTGCATGGCTTTAAGACACCAGCACTCCATTTTTGTTTGGGATGAGGTCAGACTATCCATTAGCTTATCAATCATGTGCAGTGATTCTTACATTCGCTGCGAGCCATTTCCTGATTGGTAAAGCCCTTTGCTGCCAGCGTTTCTCACAGTTTTTACTGTTTTTTAAGAGTCACAGAACGTTGCGCGCTAGGATGATGTTGACGCCAAAACAACCAAAACAAAGAGGAGACTCACTTCTCACATCAGGAGGAATTTGCGTGTTTCGAGCTTTATCCGTTCTTTCATAATCCGTTGTTGAATTGTGATCGGCAGAAACTTTTCCGGTTCTCGCCTCACAAAACGATCTCCTAACACATGGGTTTTCTGCTTCCTGATCATGTGATGTGTGACATACGCGGATGAAGATCAGCTTTAGAGCTGAGATGTTTGTTCTCACATTGCGGGGCCTTGTTCCAATGCCCACACAGTAAAAAAATGCAAATGACGACTTGTCATCATTGGCAGTGAATGAGTTAAACATTTTAACTTCACAATTAGACATTGACTTTAAATCCATAAAGTTACAATCAAGTGCACGATGAATACAAAAGCATATTACACTTTTCATATCTGTCCAATGACCTTTTATGGCCATTATTTTCAGTTTTACCTTTAATAAATATATATCTTAAGATTTATTAAGTTTTGTCCAGCGGACATAATCTCAAGACCCAAATTTAGTCACCCACAATGGGGTCCCAAAGTGGGGCAAGCTATTTCTCCATACTGAGGCTTTTCACTGTCCAGCTAACAACATAGTAATTATTTAGGCAACAACCTTTACTCATAAACACATTTTAGAACCCCTATTTTATTTCAGAATATTTTTTAGATACTAAAAAGCAAATAAATGAATTTTGATTTGTTGCTTTTAGCACTTCAGGCTATTTCTAAGCCTAAAACATTACAACAGTGATGATCTATGGCGTTCTGATTGAGTCCCTTAACGAGACGATTAAATTATATCAAAAAGCCAGGGTTATTCAGTTGTTATCACGTTTGAAGACATTGCAGCAGCAGCAGCAGACGCAGCTTCAGTGCCTCCTCTCTCCTCGCTGAGGCGCAGTAAACTCGCGTTTGGCTGAGGAGGAAGTGCAGCTTTCAGTAACACTGAATTGAAAGTACGCCATAAATATGGCGCCAAAAGAGTTTTCAAGCTGGTGATAAGATCTGATTTCCTTTTTCTTTCCTCCTCTTCCTCTGCTGTGTTTGTTGGTGAGGAGGGAGGAGGCTGCGGGAGCACACGCGCCTGTGCGTTTCGGGGAGCAAGTGGACGCGGAGAGGGATGTTTTATATCTAAAGGAGGGACGTTGCGAAACTGGCGTGCAGTCTATTTCTGACTCATCGTTTGGAAACGTATCACCCTCTTTAAAAATATTTTTTTATCTTTAATTACCCCACCTCCAGCTTCTCCCACCCCTTCCTCCTGTTCCCGTTGGCTCTGAGGAGGAAAACAGTCGGATTTTGACTCCACGTTTAGAGCAGCTCGGCTTTTTTTTTTTTTTTTTTTTGCAAAATGCGACATGCTTTCCTGTGAGCGGTTCTCGGTGCGCACCTCGCAGCCTGCCACACCGTGAGGACGAGCAGGGCTGCATTTTACACGGACTTCAACCTGAACGCCACTTTTTTTTATTTCTAGGAGGCGGTTGTGGAATTTTTCCGGATTTTTCTGGAACTCGGCTTTTGGCGGAGCTGACGCGCTGTCAACACGCACGGTGAGGGGAGGGGAGGACGGGAGAAGGGACTGTCCTGTCATCCTGCCTGCCTGTTTGGTAGCTCTGCTAGCAGCCTGGCACCGAGAGGGCAAACCGAATCGGTCCGAAACCCCTCCGCTGTTACAACTACATGTGCCTGGCTCCCGATGATCTCCTAATCTCTGGGGATCCGTCCAGGACCGAGGACGTCTGAACCCAAAGCTGACTGCAATCAAGGTAAAAAACAACATTCCTAATAATACAGGCTAGCAATGATATTATTCTAGAGGAAATGTTGCGTTCAGTACCTTTGAAGTCCACTTTGCAGCTGCTATGTCAGAGCTAGGCCAACAGCTTTGGTCTATGCGCACTTTTGCAGCGAGGTTGTCAGTCATATTAGATATTATGCATGCATGTCAAAACAGAGCTAATCTGTGTTTGGTGCAATAAAGCGCAAAACTAACCAGGAGAACTTGGCCATGTTGCGTTGTTTTTTATAAAAGCCCCAGTTTGAGCCTGGAAAGTGTTCAAGCCCGCTTTATTTTTTCCCTTCTGCGCGCATTTGCAGCAAACACGCTCGTTTCAATGACAGCTGGAGTACACAGACGCACACACGCATGTCTAGACACATGTGTATGTGGGAGATGTGTGATGAAAGTTGCGTGGAGAGCAGGAGGTCCTAGTGGAGGTGGCACCGAACCATTACATGCGTGCAGGAATTTACAGTTTTTTTTTCATTCCTCAGTAAGGTAAAGGCTGTTTTCTTCCTTGGAGGGCTGAGCACGCAAGCTCACACATGTACATATCAAGGAATTAGAGCAACTCCTCTCTGCCTCCATCACCACCCTCCTCCTCCTGCAGCTCCGTGCTGTGCAGATCTGACTGGCTTAAGCAGAGGGGGAGTGGCAGTTGTTTACCTCCTCAGAGTCGGCGTTGTGTCCGTGTGCCTGTGCTGGATGAGTTGCATCTTTCAGCTCAAGGCAAACGGCAACACTTGACATTTTGCAGATCAGATGCTGCAGATGTTAATTGGAAGTTGTATTTTTTTATGTTCTTTGCTAAGCAAACCAATTCTTCCCAATTAGGAGAATTATTAAAGGATGTGAATTAAACAATTAAGGCACATTTTGGAGTTTAAGGTGGAACTCGCCTTGAATCTATTAATCATCTGGGGACCTGTTAAATGTTTCCAGACCCCCCCCCCCCCCCCCCCACACACACACACACACACACGCACACACTCCTGCTGAAACTAGAGATGAGTCATGGTGTGTGGGGTATAACAACCCTCTCTACCTTTCATATCTATTCTTACGTATTGCTGTCTTCTTTTGACTCATCCCTCCTCTCTTTTCTCCAACTCATCTCCCTCGTGTTTCCCGGCCTGGTAGTTGTGACCGAGGCTGTTGTTGTTTTGCATCCATGTTTAAGTTCCTCTCAACTTTCCTTCCCGCATCCTTCATCCCGATCAGGGTTCTAGACTCGTCATCATCATCATCATCATCATCATCATCATCATTGGGATCGTGTCTAAAGTGGACGGCCAGATTGAGATGTCTCGGAAAACTCAAGTGTGCAATTGTTTTAAGCCTTGCGTGTGTCCACATACACACGTGGTATGGTATGTGTGTGTGTGTGTGTGTGTGGCTGAGGGTGGCGGTGGTGGTGTAGCATCACGTGTTGCTTGTATTTGCTGTGTTAAATGGTGAGCAGCCATTGGCTGGAAATGGGGGTAAGGACCCCACGTGGGGCCTTGTATCCTTTAGCAGCTATAGTAAAGAGGAAGAGGGAGAGCAGGAGGAGGAAAAGGAGGGATGTTCATGAATGAAGCTCTGACGTAAACAGCAGCCTCAATCTCTCTCACACACACACACACACACACGCACGCATGCACTCGTATGTATTTACACACATGAATAAACATGGCTAGAGGGCAGAATGTGTGTGATTCATAAATATGTCACATCAGAAGCCTGGAAACCAAAGGAGAGTAGAGTTTATTAATGTGTACAGGTGTTGGGTTACCATATTTTGGATTACCAAGAAACTAACTTGCATGTTTACAGGAGAGCTACATCTTTTTAGTTTTTTTAAATATTTTTCTATTAGGCTGCGTAGATTGACACTGTTTAAAAAGATCCTATTAATGAATTTAATTACTTTAGTCATCATGGATTTGTCTTGTCCTTGTATCAGCCTCACATAGGAAGTCCTTTAATAGTTTCTTGCTTTTTATTATTATTCTTTTATTATTACCATAACAAATTGTTTTAACGGTATTTGTTGCAGCATGCTTTCTTCTGTTACATTTTCATGAGACTTGCAATGCTGAGTGTTATAGCATCTTGGCTAGTGACACCCATACTGATAGCATAGCATCAGGTGTCCACCAATCACAATCATTCTTAATCAGTTTGCGGGAGCAGGCCAAGAGGGGTCCTCGTGTAGGATTGTGTTTTACCCATTTGTATTGGCTGTTTGATGCATTCCTCAAAAACATACTGTGCCACAATTGGTCCAAGTCACATACTTGGGGTGGGGGGTGACAGGGCTGACACAAACAATGGACCAACACCATACGCAGACAGGGTTATATACACAGAGGGAAACAATCAGGGAAACAGGTGACAGGTGTGTGGGGAGTGATACGAAGGGATCAGGTGAGACTAATTAGCTGAGTGGGGAAAACTGACAAAGTAAAATAAATCTACAGAGAAACTACAGATAAGTGAACTCCTAAAACCTGAAAACAAGACAACCATAAGAAAAACGGATGGGATTTCTGAATCTGAAAACACTATGGGGAAACCTGGAGGGAGCTGGAGACCTAAAAGGGCACAGTAACCTAAAAAGAACACCTAAGGGTAAAACCTGGAGTGGGCTGGAGAACACAAGGGGACACATGGAGGGATTCAGACAAGGAGACACATTAGGAACACAATGAGACACATAAGGGAAACCTAGAGAGGGATGGAGAACACCAGGAGACACATGAGGGAGACGCAGGATGCAGACCATGACAACATATTGATATGTAATCTGATTGGACAAAGTGTTCTTTAGTTACCCACTAATGCAAACTTTTTAAGTTAAGAGTGAAAATGACCAAGTTAATAATCCTCATGGTCCACATAAGTCTAAAAATGCTAAGCATATTTTATGGTGATTTTCCAAATACCATCAAATAGCTTTTTAAGTGATCCAGACTGCCAGAATAATATTAGAATTTTGTAAGACTTTGTATTTGTACCTTTTTTTTATTTTAACCTCCAGTCCCCAGTGGACATTATTGGTACTGCATGCTAAGGCATCTACATCATTTCAGTTCATGCACTAAGCTAACCAAATGCACCAGACACATTAGCGTTTTTATTAACTACTTGTCCGATCTTTCTGATTTTGGGATCCTTCGGTTTGCTACTTTTTTATTTGTCAGAGAATTAAACTCTGAAGGATGAAAGCACCTTGATGGACAGGATGACAGATGCTGCTGGTGCTCCAGATGGAATGAATTTTAGAAAAGTTCACGCTTATCTTTGTGTGGAGGGAGAACCTAAGTAAACAGCTGACAGAAACAATATGTACAAACTTGTTTTACTGCCTCAGCGGCATTTTTATTTTATATCAACATGCATGTAAAATAAAAAACAGCAGAGGTGAAGTTTGGAGAGGAGATGTGGTTTAGGTTTTTCTTTTTCAAGGTGTTGAGTGGGAGGAGGACAGCGAGGAAGAAATAGGGCAAAATAAAAGATTTAGGAGAGAATCACTGAAAAGATGGGATGATAGACAAGTGATGAAGGTAGTTAAAGAAGAAGGTGGCAGTCGAGGTCATCGGGAGTAAAGAGCCTATCCACCATCTCCTCACCCTCTTCTTCCCTTTGACACTCCCATCCACAATAATGAACTCCTACTGGCGCTGGAGACAATATGGATCAGTCCTCCATCACTCTTGTTTTCCTCCTCTGCCCTCCCTCCTTCTCTGCTTTTTTTCCTCCTGGTTCTTGGCAGAACTCCAGCCTCTCTGGCTCAGACTCACCTCCTTCATTATTTGTCAGCAGATTTCAGGAGATGAAGCAAGAAGCTTAGTGAGGGGAAATAATTCGGACTTCTCTCTGTTTTTTTCTCTCTTCCCTCCATTCTCACTCATTTCTTGTATCTCTCTCTTCTCTGTTTTCTGCTCACTCGCTTCTTATCCCATAATGCAGCAGCAGCAGGAGCAGCGGCTCTATCAATAAATATTGCGTTAATGTTCTAGTGGCTGGAGCCAGCAAGGTGATAAAGGAAATCTATTTGGTTCCTGCGGCTCGTTTGTTTGGCCCATTGCCTCCAGTTGGTGTGCAGATGTGTGTAAAGGTGTGTGGGCAGGGGTAGAATGAGTCATACCTTTTATTTTGTGTAATTTAGTAAAAAAATCATTGTTTAACTCATAATTTCTAACTTTTCGTTCCAGAAATGGAGGTAAAAATGAAAAACCTACAATTGCTTGAAGGGATGTACAGGTCCTTCTAAAAAAATTTGCATATTGTGATAAAGTTCATTATTGTCTGTAATGTACTGATAAACATTAGACTTTCATATCTATTAAATTCATTACACACAACTGAAGTAGTTCAAGCCGTTTATTGTTTCTCATATTGATGATTTTGGCATACAGCTCATGAAAACCCAAAACTCCTATCTCAAAAAATTAGCATATCATGAAAAGGTTCTCTAAACAAGCTATTAACCTAATCATCTGAATCAACTAATTAACTCTAAACACCTGCAAAAGATTTCTGAGGCTTTTAAAAACTCCCAGCCTGGTTCATTACTCAAAACCGCAATCATGGGTAAGACTGCCACCCTGACTGCTGTCCAGAAGGCCATCATTGACACCCTCAAGCAAGAGGGTAAGACACAGAAAGAAATTTCTGAATGAATAGGCTGTTCCCAGAGTGTTGTATCAAGGCACCTCAGTGGGAAGTTTATGGGAAGGAAAAGATGTGGCAGAAAATGCTGCACAACGAGAAGAGGTGACCGGACCCTGAGGAGGATTGTGGAGAAGGACCGATTCCAGACCTTGGGGCTGTTGCTCAGTGGTCCAAAGTACTTTTTTCTGATGAAAGCAAATTTTGCACGTCATTCAGAAATCAAGTGCCAGAGTCTGGAGGAAGACTGGGCAGAGGGAAATGCCAAAATGCCTGAAGTCCAGTGTCAAGTACCCACAGTTAGTGATGGTCTGGGGTGCCATGTGAGCT